GGATGCTCACTCCTCCATGCACCTGATCCCCCCTCTGATGTCTAAGAGGTCTGTGTTTGCTCTTCTCCTATTTTGTAATGTTTAATGGACTTTTGAGCTCGAATACTTTTCGTTATCTCCACATATTTCATACCTGAGGATTTTCCGAGTGACACCGATCATTAAGTCTAGGTGGAGACAATATATAGCGTGTAATAGATCATTTACTCTAGGTGGAGACAATATATAGCGTATAGTAGATCATTTAGTCTAGGTGGAGACGATATATAGCGTGTAATAGATCATTTAGTCTAGGTGGAGACAATATAGAGCGTATAATAGATCATTTAGTCTAGGTGGAGACAATATATAGCGTATAGTAGATCATTTAGTCTAGGTGGAGACAATATATAGCGTGTAATAGATCATTTAGTCTAGGTGGAGACAATATATAGCGTGTAATAGATCATTTAGTCTAGGTGGAGACAATATTTAGCGTATAGTAGATCATTTAGTCCAGGTGGAGACAATATATAGCGTGTAATAGATCATTTAGTCTAGGTGGAGACAATATAGAGCGTGTAATAGATCATTTAGTCTAGATGGAGACAATATATAGCGTGTAATAGATCATTTAGTCTAGGCGGAGACAATATATAGCGTGCAATAGATCATTTAGTCTAGGTAGTGACAATATATAGCGTGTAGTAGATCATTTAGTCTAGGGGGAGATAATATATAGCGAGAAGTTGATCATTTAGTCCATGTGGAGACTATATATAGCGTGTAGTAGATCATTTAGTCTAGGTGGAGACAATATATAGCGTTTAGTAGGAAATATATGGAGATAACGAACAGTAACGAACAGTAGATCATTTAGTCTCGGAAGAGACAATATAGCATATTATGGATAATTTTAGTCCCGTTAGAGACAATACACTGTACATAGCATATAAGTTATCATTTATGTCTCGGTAGAGAAATATATAGCGTATTCAAGATCCTTAAGTCTCATTTGAGGCAATATATTGCGTATTACAAATCATTAAGTCTAGATAGAGACATTATATAGCGTATTCTAGAGCCTTTCGTCTCTATAGTGACAAAACATAACTTTCAAAAAGGTCTTTTAGTCTCGGTAGGGACAATATAGAGAGTATCATAGTTAATTTAATCTAGACTAAATGATCTATTATACGCTATCTCTACCCAGACAAAATGAGCAATAATACGCTATATACTGTCTTTACCAAGAATTAATGATCTATAATAATCTACATATATACTGTCTCTATCTGGGTAGAAACAATAAGCGTATTTGTCACAAATGACATTGTATCAGTATTTTATTATTAGTCTATTGGTTGTATATTTACGCTTCGTCTTCATTTTGATATTTATTGTTTATTTCATATACATTGATCATTGAATTGTACGCTAGTCTATGAAACTATGTTTAGTTACAGGTAATCGTCCAACTTATTTGATTACATGTAGTTCGGCCATTTATTTATTCTGAGTGTTGGCTGGTGTTTAGTCAGATGTCCAGACTCTGTGATGTATATTTAACTCATGCTTAGTGAACTTGGGGGGGGGGGGGGGTATGTTGTTGAGAGGGCTTATATAGGCTATTCCTGCTGCCCACTCTGTTTATGTTTCAGTACATAATAAAATATGTTCAAATTAAATCACTGTTAAGGCTGCAGAAAGGGGGCGGGGTATAATTTACACCGGAAATGTTTACTGTGACATCACACAAAACAGCAGTTACTAACAATACCAGACAATGAAATAATTTGCGATTTTAAACTGTATAAGAGTAATAAACTACATCAAAACTTACCACTGCATTCATTTTTGTCGCTAGTTAAATCCCACATAGCAAGGTAGAAACAAGTCATTGATCGCAATGCACTTGTCCACTTGACGTCATCATAGTAAAATTTGACGCATTTTAAATGCAGTGATAGTCGGAAAAAGTAATTTTTTACAACGAAAAATGCATTTTATTATTAAATAGAATATTATTTACAGATGTTTAATAAACCATTAATACCAATTTGAAACTTTTGTTTAGTCTATTATTCAATCATTATCGAGAGAATATGTTGGATTAATTTCACCGTGTTTTGTGTACAGGATTGGCTTGTTAAACATCCCGGTGCCTGATTAAATCGCCTTTCTGCAAGTTCATACACTATATCGATCTTGACCAATTTTTGAATATACATAAAGGACATATTTCTTGTGTTGCTGCTTACCTGAAATCGAGAGTATTGCTTGATAAATACAAAATATACTTGGTTAAGGTGACAAGAAGAAAACACTTGCTGTGGCCTTCAACTCGATTTAATATTACACACACGTGTATCACATATGGAGAAATTGTGTGCAATTTATTTATGAGATTGTTTCCACGTGATCTACATGTATTTCTCATTAATATTCATAAGATACTGAATAAACTCGAAATTCCATTTCTTTAAATTTTTATGTTAAAACCTACAAGCCTGTTTCGTTTTGTTTTTTCTTCAAGGCTCTGTCATAGTTATATGGGTAGAAATTTGTGTGAATAATAGCTGACGACTCGGGACATCGTTTTCCCGATGTAACGTAGGTCACACTGATGCAAAAAATTGCCGTTTTCAAATTAAAAAGGCGGTCGTAACTCCTCATGGAATGGTAAAACATACTATTTTATAAAAATAGGCTCTCTCCTGCACCTCTTAATCGGCGGAAGAACTCTGTTAACTTGTAATAAACACTTACATTTCCTCATGAAAATTGATTTAAAAAAACACCAATTCTGTGCTCTTTTCTTCATTAAAACAATATATTCTGGCTTCGAATTGGTATCAACAATATTGCCATTTCCGGTAGAAGATATTAAGAAGAATCAAACCATCGGCGGAAGAACTTTATCCGAAATAGTTAGGATATAAAAATTCGCGATTTTTTGTATTTTCTATATATAAACCTTTATAAATTATGCCGCCATTATAGTTCCAAAATGGTCGATATGCAAATCAGCAGAATGAACACCATTTCTCCCTATGAAATTTACATACACGTATATCGACGACGTAATATAAATTAACAATATAGCTACTTCCATACATATGTTGACTAGATATAACCAAGTGAACTTGAACTAAAAGACACCACAGAGTCTGCAATATATGTTTTATATTTGGATGATTTACTGACTATGGACGATAAGGCCAACTAACAACTAGATTGTATGACAAACGAGATGACTTAAGCATTTCCATCGTCAACTTTCCTTATCTATGTAGTAATATCCCGCCATCACCCGTATATATGACGTTTACATCCCCCAACTTAGATACTCAAGAGCATCATCGAGCTCTGAGTACGATCAATTTTTAAACCAAGGAAGGCTACTGACAAATAAGTTGATGTTACAGGGATTTCACAACCTCGTTTAAAGTCAGCATTTTGTAAATTCTATGGTCGATATAATGGCCTTGTTAGAAAATACAACCTATCATTGTGTCTTATTCTGGCTGACATGTTCCATACCAATTGTTAGGCCATTGTTTTTATACTGAATTCGACTGTCTCTCTACCTGATCAATACATAGGGCTAACGGCGGGTGTGACCGGTCAACAGGGGATGCTTACTCCTCCTAGGCACCTGATCCCACCTCTGGAATTTCCAGGGGTCCATATTTTATGTTCTGTTCACAGATTTGTATTGGTTATAGATTTTTGAGATCGATCGCTGTTCGTTATCTTCACTTTTTTCATTTGATCGAGATATCAAAGAAAACTTGGATGGAAAACTTTTCATCGATGCGCAAGTTTTCTTTGATACCTCGATCAAAGAAAAAATTATGATTTCATTTTTAATTCATGAAATGTCCCTGGAACTTTTCATTGATAATTTAGAGTAGTCGAATGAATTGCTAAAGGTAATAAAGTTCTCTTCTTTGTTTGGATTTTCGTCCAGCTTTTGGTCAATATCATTTATGAATTGCAGACACAGAGGAGTTTTATTTGTGATAAAGACTCAATATTCTAGTCAACCCATGAAGATATTTGCATTCTACATTTGGACGCCCATGGCTGTGCCTTTGATTTGCAAGAAGTTTGAGTGTTTGTACGGATTCAACAGCAGGTCGTTTACAAAAGCTAGAGTGTTCCATGGAACATATGTGTCGACTGCTATACACAAAAATTAAAACTAAAGGGTGGTTGTCTATTCTTTTAATATTATATGAACAATATAATTTAAGCGAAATAAAATAAAATCCACAGATTAGTGAGACAGCGATAAATAATATTTATCATAAAAGTAACAGTCGATGTAAATTCAATTTAAAATACATGATCTACTGAATTTCTTTTTAAAAATCCATTCATGGGTATTTATGCACGAGCCCAAGTTGATATACCATACTGAACAATCGGAACATACAGTCTTTTTTGTCAAGTCGAGAACAACGTTGGCCTTTTGTGTCAAGTCGAGAAAATTTTATCAGAAAAAAGTGTATTAATACAAGTTTAATTCAACGCTTATCTTAGTTGACGGAAGAGGCTGGTTGATTTCTAGTTGTTAACAGAATGCATTTAATTTAAGTTTGTGTGGTTAATGTCATTAATACATTTAAAAGAAACTGTCAGTATTTTTTAAAAAATATTTATAAATGCTAATTAATAAAGTTCTTCTTCTCAAAATCCATGTCTTAACTTAAAGGTTCGGAGTATTCTTGAAAATAGGTCAATGGTCAAGGTCAGTTTGACTGTAACGCTGATATTTTTCAACATATTTTATGACAAGCAGTGCATTTGCAAAATAGCATAAGTCTACCTCTAAAATGTCAAAGAATATGTGTACGAGTTATCGGCACTTTTTTTTACTTTGAAAAGTAGGTCAAAGGTCAAGATCAAAAGTATGGAGATCGATAACCCTTGAATTTTACAAAATCTATGCTGTCAGCAGTGTAGATGATTTAGAACATTTTCATTATACATGGAAATGTCAGTATTTTAAAACTTTAATCTTCAGCAGCTGTCAATAGAGCTGACTTTTTATCCCTTTTCTTCTGAGCAGCAAGCTGAAATACAGCTACTCACAGAATCTAAATGATTAAATGCTGTTTTACATCTTCTATCTTCTTTCGTCAATCTGCATGCCAGAATCCCGACAATAACGGCAGAGAAGACTTAATCAAAAACTTATAATCAAAAACTTATAATTAATACTTTATCTCTTTAGCATTTTTATGAAAATTAACAAAAGAATTTGCGATGTCAGTATGGAAAATGTAAACAATGTAGTCATCAAGAATTCCTTTTTCTAATTTTTTTCTAGGTTTACATGAGCTGTACAGAGATTATGTCTAAATATACATGTGGTGGTGCTTACATGTATAAATATCTCAGGAACCATAGGATGGTGCTTACATGTATAAATATCTCAGGAACCATAGGATGGTGCTTACATGTATAAATATCTAAGGAACCATAGGATGGTGCTTACATATATAAATATCTCAGGAACCATAGGATGGTGCTTACATGTATAAATATCTAAGGAACCATAGGATGGTGCTTACATGTATAAATATCTCAGGAACCATAGGATGGTGCTTACATGTATAAATATCTCAGGAAGTATTGGATGGTGCTTACATGTATAAATATCTCAGGAACCATAGGATGGTGCTTACATGTATAAATATCTCAGGAACCATAGGATGGTGCTTACATATATAAATATCTCAGGAACCATAGGATGGTGCTTACATGTATAAATATCTCAGGAACCATAGGATGGTGCTTACATGTATAAATATCTCAGGAAGTATTGGATGGTGCTTACATGTATAAATATCTCAGGAACCATAGGATGGTGCTTACATGTATAAATATCTCAGGAACCATAGGATGGTGCTTACATGTATAAATATCTCAGGAAGTATTGGATGGTGCTTACCTCAAGAAGTATGCCAGGAATCATGATCGCCATCAAAACGGCCTCCTGAAAATGCTCCTGGTACTTCTCTTGAAACACTTCGTAACACACCTAAGAAATTGAGTAAGAACTACTATGTAATCTTTATAATTTTTAATCAAGGCTACAATTTTATAGCAATCAATGCCCAATTTTCTTTTTTTTTTTCCTTTTTTTTAAAGATTGCATTACCTTCACCTATAAAAACATGGAATGTTATCCTTAAGAAAGAAGATAGCAGACAGGACTTGATTGTATCTTATCATACAAAATCATATTTGTAAGTTTTTCGGGTATAACCTAATTTAACAGGTTTATTTTAAGACTTCATTAAGTGTCTTTCCTTAGTCTTATATGAGTTAAAGATGTATGATTTTAATACTTATGTTTTGAATGTGAACAAATAGGTAAAATTATTTCATTTGAAGGCTTTTGATGGTTTTTATTAGAAATGTTATGCATGCAAAAATATACCTTCTTATTAAATCCTTTCGTGACTGATCTGTAACAACTTGGAGGAGCACGTGTATAGTTTTTTGCTGTTACGTGATTGCAACAGGTCTTAGGGATAGGAGAGGAATTTTGTCGACAGTTATTCATTTCAGAGCACCACGAAGTGCTTCCAAAATCATTTTTCAATCCTACCACAGGGTTCACACCACAACAGTCCCACTGTAAAAGGAATACCTAAGTAAATCTTAGTAACAAACAATAGCTTAAGGATTATTTTTAGGTCCAGTACAATAGCATCTTTAGGGTTAGTATACAAGAGGTGGAGGGTCAGTACACGAGACGAAAGTTAGTTAGAACTTCATGTCTTTGAGGTATGGACTAGAAAAATGTATGTATGGTTGAGATTCATTCAGTAGATTCATGATTAGTACAATAGCTTCAGAGTATATTTTATACTATAGCTTCATGACAGTTATGCTTAGAAGTATTGGGGATGCTTACTCATCCAATTCAGATTATTGATACATAGTGAGATATTATGATCAAATAATTGTAAAAGGCACTTTTATTGCTTTAAACGGCAATGCTGAAATTCATTATCTACTTCCGGTAGCATGATGCTACTTCTGGTAGCATTGACCAAATTATAAAACGGTATCAGGATAAGGATTACTAGCATTAAATCAGCAAGCAAAGGAAGCATTCAAATCAGCAAGCAAAGGAAGCATTCAAATCAGCATCGATGCTGTAGCAAAATTAGTTTCCTGCACTGTATAAACTTGAAATTCGAAAACTTGCCTGAAAAAAGATAACCTTCTCTATTAATTATTTCTGGATTGGAATTTTTGTCATAGTCTCGATGACAAATAAAAAGATTTTTTAGTAAGAAAATGTAGGAATTCTAGTAATAAAGTAAAGAATTGTTGCACAGATTAATAACATCATTAACAATCTGAATACATGTATGATAATAGATAGAAAAAACTTCTTTTCTAGGATTAATAATTACTTTTTATGTTTATCTAATGTTTTATAGCTAGATGCACTCATTAAAGAACATGCCAACAATAAGCTTACTAAATATTCATCGTTTTTATATAGCGGTTGTAGTTTAAACTTTAAAAAAATGGGATACAAAAGTTTTTAATACTTACGGACAGAAAAATATTATTCCATGCATTGGACACGTTGGAGGCCACACCTTTGAGGTTGTCGTCTTTATAATTCTTACTTAATGTTTTTAATATTTCTTTCTTTAGGTTCATCTGATAAATCAATGATACATGTAGTAGTAATAATAATAATAATTTGAGTATACATTTATATATACATGTATAACTTATTCTTGATCTTTCCTTAGGGGAAGGACAATTTCCGAGTATTCATGTCTATTGGACAGTTAAAGAGAGGCTACCTGCAACAGATACAGCACTGCAATGTATCCCAGGGTCAATAGAGCCAATAGACCACACAGAACTACAAACTGTTGTAAAACAAATTAAATGAGATGTATCTTATATAAGATTTAGATAACTCTCTCTCTCTCTCTCTCGTCATAGATAGCGAATCATATTTGAGTCAGTAAAATATCAATCAGATACCGCCTTAGTTCCATCACTATATATAAAATTATTAATTTGAACTAGATTTACCGTATACATCACCCTGTCGTTACGGCATCCTACGGCACATGATAAAAGCAAACCACAAACTAGAGTGAAACTTCCGAAACCAATAACCATGGCTCCCTTAGTGTGCATCAAATGTATAAAGGTTTTTGTAGGAAATGAGTCAAACGCAGGCTTGATTTTATCCGAAATGAATTCACGTTGTTCCAAAATCCCTGAAACCATTACCACAATTCCAAATACCTAAAGGAAAACATGAGAGATATGGTCAAACTTTGATATTTTAAATATATGTAAATTCGTCATGCACTAATGATAATGGTGAATGATTAGTGGAATTTTTATCATGAAATATGGAGATAACGAACAGTAATCAAGCCCAAAGGTCTATTGAAACAATACAAATCGGGAGCAGAGCAAACAGGACCTCTAAAAACATCAGAGGTGGGATCAGGTGCAATGAAGGAGTAAGCATTCATTTAAGACTCAAAAAGTAATCCTTAGTCCTCTTCTTAATATATTTACTAATCCTACGTGGAATTTCATTTCACATGAATATTTCTCTGATAAAGTATACTACAATTCACTTCAAAATAATCGGAAAATAACTGGAACATAATTAGAAAATTGATACTTACCACAAGTAAACTGGCCAAAACAATGACCAGTATGGTCAGTTTATTTACATGTCCCATATTTGAGTAAATTAAGAAATCACACCCTGATCTCAAATTGAAAAATTAGTTGATCTCAAATTTAAAAACAATACAGCAAATTTACTTCATCAAAGTCAATAATCATATAAAAAGAACTCATTTATAGCTGTTCATTATATACAGTACTATTGGTATTACACTCCGCTTAATTTAGTTTTGAAAATAGGGCTTTCCTTATCCTCAAATTTCGATCGTGCCTACGTGGAATAACCAAATTTAAACATAGTTGAAATATTAAATGCCATGGTAAATTGGCATGTGGTGAATGTAATTGTAATGAGTAATATTGGAATCAGAAATAGTACATTTTTTTAGCCAGGTCTTGGATTAATTCCAAATTATTTTCATTTACAATAGGTATTTTCTTGCATTCCTTAGTACAAAATATTATACCATATAATAAATCAAGTTTTTGTAATATGAATCAAAATTCAAATTGTTATATTTCATTTATTCCATTTTTAAATGCTATGTTACGATATTAAAAGGAAATATTACTTGTACATTCAAATGTCAAATCTATCTTATTTATAATATCTTATATGTACATGTAATGTCTATACATGTATGTTTAATGTATATGTAACATGTTATGTAATATTTCCCTTTTTTAGTTATTTTAGGCTTAATCTTATAGGAATATTTTTCAATACATTTTCATTAAACAAAAGCTTTACTTAATAATGATGCTATTTACAGGTATAAACATAGTGTGAAAAGATAATTTCTTGACATTTACATGTACATATATTCCATCCAGTCTTTTAGAACTACACGTCTACCTACACTTCAAGCTTTGCATTGTTGCATTTATGATATTCATTCATGATAAAAAGCTTTTCTTTTAGGACTTTAATAAAACAATGATGCATAGTCTGTTTTGTTATATAAGTCACAATAAAATGTAATGTATTTTAACTGCAAAGAATAGGGTCAGAAAATCATTTACTAAAAGAAAATGCTTCGGACTAAAAAGTAGGACTTCTTTATTCCTAAAATAGCAGAGGTTTTCCTGTTCCTTGTCTCTATATAGATTTTATGTGATCATTGATACAGTGTATGTGTCCTTATAAAACAAAGAATCGAAACTTCGGAAGCAAATTATAACTGTGAAGTAAATGTAATCTCAATCAATTTCATAAAGTACACAAATAAAGTTCACACAATGTGATAATATAAATGTGATGGGACTTTTTAACCATACACAGAGACGTAAGCGTAGTCATGGGCATCGATCTTACAATAAACCTTTAATACATGATGTCTGTTTTGATTTATTACTACCTTACGTAAATCAAAAGTTATGTCTACATCATATTCGCACCAAACTTTACTCTGTCCCTTTGAAACTTTTAAATAGTCTTCTTGAAAAGGTCAAGGAAAGTCAATTTTTTTGGTTTCTCGACACCAGAATATAGGCCCGGATCTGTGATTATGGATATTGCAAATCATAGGCTTTTTAAATCACCACGTTTTACTGAAGAAAATACCACTAAAACAATGCGTCTTTTCCTTAAACTTCAATATGCCAACAAAGGAATTGACGCGGTTAATATAAGTAATATTCTTAATCACAAAAGAGTCCAGTCTTGTATTCCACCATATTTCAAGTTAAAGACTACACCTTGTATTTCCTACAAATATACGTCGACTATTGCTTCCAAACTTTTTAATTACAGGAAAACTTTACAGGGCCTGGATATCGAATATCTGAAACATAATCCTGCATCGTGTTCATGTTCTTCTTCATCCTATAACTATAGTCCTGTTGGACACGTTACTACTGGTGACGTAAATATAGTTAATAATGAGGACCTTAGAACACTAATTTTAAAAGGTCCTAAATATAGGTAACCCCAATCCTTCAACTGGCGTCGGAATTTCATAAATATTATGGATTCTGTAGAGGACTACGCCAGGCAATCAGATGTATGTTAAAATCGCGCATTTAAACATTGAGGGGCAATATGAGAACCATCTATCCTTCTGTATTCAATAATCCAGAAGTGAAAAAAGAAGTAGATAGTTTACATGATCAGTACGTACTGGTCCCTGCTGACAAAGCAAGTAACAACATTGTCTTTGTTTGTAAGGCTCATTATATTAAATGTATTTTAGAGGAACTTGGATTTAATTCTACAAGTGGTAATCCAACTTATACTCATAGTTCCCTTTCTAAGGAAGAAATTCTTCAAAATCATATGTCAGTTTTGAATATTTTTAATATTCCAAACAACCAAAATGAATTTGAATTACCATATTTATATTGGTTTCCGAAACTTCATAAAAATCCTTACAAACAAAGATACATAGCGGGTTCCAGTAAATGTTCAACCAAGCCTCTTTCTTTACTCCTCACTAAGATATTAACAGTAGTGAAGGAGAAACTTCAAGAGTACTGTGCAACAATATATTCGAGAAGTGGTGTAAATCAGATGTGGATCCTTAAAAATTCTAAGGAACTTTTGGAAAATTTGAAATCACAAGATTTTACCAAAATCAACAGCTTAAAAACTTACGACTTTTCAACTTTATACACAACCATTCCCTACGATAAATTAAAGTTCAGGCTTTTTGATATAATTGGCAGCTGCTTTTTCAATAAAAATGGAACTCGTAAATTTACTTACCTTGTCATTGGTCATTTGCAAAATTATTTTGTTAAAAAACATTCTGACTGTACACACAAGTACTCTGAAGTTGACATTAAAAAGATGCTTGAGCTTCCTTCTGATTTACAATATCTATATGGTTTTTGGAGACCAGGTCTTCCAATAATCTATTGGAATTCCCATGGGTACCAATTGCGCTCCGGTATTAGCAGACCTTTTTTTTGTATTCATATGAAGCAGAATTTGTCTAAAATCGTGTACGTGAAAAGAGGAAAACACTTGCTGTGGCCTTCAACTCGACATTTAGAGATATCGACTACGTATTGTCAATTAACAATGGCTATTTTCATTCTTACGTCGATACGATATATCTTGGTGAGCTTGAAATAAAGATACCACAGAGTCTGACACATCTGTTTCATATTTGGATATTTTACTTGAAAAAGACGTAAATGGTAATCTAACAACCAAGCTTTCTGATAAACGTGATGACTTTAACTTTTCAATCGTCAACTTCCCTTACTTATGCAGCAATATACCTTCATCACCTGCTACGGGGTATATATATCTCAGTTGATTCGATACGCAAGAGCATGCTCTACGTATGTACAATTTCTAAAACGAGGTAAATTATTGACAAACAAGTTGATGAAACAATAATATCAGCTGTCTCGTTTAAAGTCATCATATCGTAAGTTCTATGGTCGATACAATGACCTAGTCAGCAAATACGATTTATCATTGAGTCAAATGCTGACTGACGTTTTTCATATTAATTATTAGGCCATTATTTACACACTGAATTGTCGACGGATTTTTCCGTTATTTCCCGATCATGACAAGGAGCACACGGCTGGTGTGACCGCTCGGCAGGGGATGCTCACTCCTCCATGGCACCTGATCCCATCTCTGATGTTTTGGAGGTCCGTGCCACTGTTTGCTCTGCTCCTATTTTGTATTGTTTATTGGATTTTTGAACTTGAATACTGTTCGTTATCTCCATATATTTCACACTATTGACCATGGCAATTACTTTCAGCTGAGAATATTTGATAAATTAATTAGTATGGCACGCAAATCTCGCTTTAATTAGATAATATAGTTTAACAATTAATAAACTATTTTTATCGATTGTAAACTGTAGTTTACGACTATGTTAACTCTATAATTAACGATTCGTTAACAATAGTTTTCATCTGTAAAACTATATTTACTGACTGTAAACTGTAGTTTACGAATGATAATTTAAGTTTATCTGTCTGAAAATTTAATGATAACAATATATTTTGCTGATTAAATATAGATATTCATTTTTTTGTAACCTTTAATTTACATTTTGTTAACCAAAGTTAAGAGTTGTTAATCATGGTTTATGTTCGTTAATTGTAGATTTCGGTCATAAACTATAGTTTTATGACATTAATATTCATAAACTATAGCTAACTGATGTAAACTATAATTTACGATCTTAAACCATAATTTTGAGAGATAAACTAAGATTCATATTTGCCAATCATAGTTTATCGTCAAAAACTCAAAAACTACAGTTACGAGTTTTTAAATATAGTTTATGAATCTAAATGCCTATTAACTGTTAACAAAAGTTTGCAATTCAAAATCTCGCAAAACCAATCACGAGAGGCAATATTAAATATGTTTCATCGCCGTATGTTCTATATAGAAAAGGAAAACAAATCCTGCTTCATATTACTGGAGAATTATTGGTTTAAATTCTACTCTTGACAATCTTAAACCTTTAAGTCTTTCAGCAACTCTTTTGATTCCAACAATGCTGAAGTCATCTCTTTTTGATCAACGCAAAAGGTTGGAAAAACGGCAGGGATAAATCTCAGTGATTTACTATACTGCTGATAAAGAAAAATTTGATCACAAACCGTCAACATGCATTTTTCTTTCTCTTTCTTTTAAATTATAAACAAATTTTAATCAATAATTGTCCTGTCATTTTTCTTTTTATTTCCTATAAGATTTGTTTAGAATGATAGAAAATTTACTTTTTATGTCAACAAGAAATATATTTTTAACAACCATTGCAAAATACTAGTTAACGTTGCATAGCAGACTTTTATGCTGTAACCAGGATCAACGTATCTATGTTTTACAAACGAAACTATTGTTAACTATAGTTTTGATCGTAAACCATACTTCAGAGTTATAAAATATATTTCACACAAAGTTGTGCATCTCCGATACATAATCAGGGATTCTAGAGTTAAACTGTGTTTCTCAAACTATGTAAAACTATGTTAATAACAATTTTGTGAATTCTGCTCCTTAAATATCTGTAAATTATAATTTACAACCGTAGACAATAATTTACATTCGTTAGCTATAGTTTAGAGTTGTAAACCATAGTTACAAATCCTGAAGCCGTATTTTTCAGATAAACTGTTTTGCGATTGAAAATGATTTTTTTTTTTTTTTTTGCAGTGTTCTAGTGAAACGTAGATTAAGGGTATAACTATGGCTTAGAGATGTTAATTATAGATTAACGTCCTTAACCACAGTTTACGGTCTATATAAATTAAAGTTTACAGTCAATAAACCTAGTTTATAAACTGTGAAACTAATATTAGTTCGTTCTTTGTCAATTTGGCGTGCCATAAATAAGGCATTACTTATTTTAGAATAGTGCTAGAGACGTCCTTTGTATGATAACTGAGGATCCACAACATTTAGGTGTTGGTGTGTCAGTATTGGAAATGTGAGTGAAATTTTTTTATTGATCAAAACAAGTAAATATCCCGTAATGTGGAATCAATAAAAAACTGATTTTCAAGGATTTTCTATCTTGTATTATCTTTAAATAACCATTGTTTATATGATAAAAAAATTCATATACATATGAACATCAAAATGAAGAAAAATCCTATCATTTCTTTACTTTTCTACTGAACTCCACGATCGAAGACAAAAACCGGGTATCTAACTAAGCAATATTTCAAACAGGAAAATGGCTTAGACTGCAGACAACCCGACAAAAGTCCTCTATGTAGCAATGTCTAATTTGATGACATTACCATCAGAAAACTTTGTTCATTTGATTTGACAGTACAAAAATCTAATAAATCAATATGTACCTTACTTATGTCTGATATATAAAATAAAACAAGCATCTGAAGAATGGTAATAATAGGAAATCCACGTCAAAATTTTGTAGCAAATTTAATGTAAAAAGAACAGTATAAACGTTTAGATACTACATTAGCAAAACTGTATGAAACATTGATATAATATAAACACGAAATACAAAGTGAAATTAATCATTTTACACAAAGGTGTACATTCATGATTCATTAACAACCGAATCAATAACAATTCACTACAACCACTGACCACAGGAGTATAATTGATTGATTGATTAACGTGACTAAAATGATAAGTGTCAAAGTCTTAAGTTAGAAATACATTTCAAAGAGTTATATATTAAAAACAGATAGACTTTAAAAAGAGATACAATGCAGAATAATATCCAATTTTTATTTCCATACGTTCTTAAATGAATCGATGAATGAATTAAAACTAAAAATTACACCTACAACATTGAATTTTACCGCTCCTTTCTTTGGTGAAATAATAAACTCCATGCAGATTAAAATTTGATTGAATATGATAAAGTATCAAGTTCAATTTGATTTTCTGTATCCATGTTTAAGTTTAACCCTTTGCAATGTCTAGCAGGCTGGTGGGGCAGTCCTATATTCTGAAGTAGATAATAACGGCAATAACCAGTGATACACAAAGGCCATAATCTAGAAATATATTAAAAAGAACAGAAGGTTTAAGAAAATATATTCAAATATTGTAAAATTGCATATTTTTGTCTCAGAAAATATTTTTTCTCCAAAATGAATTTGCTCAGTTAACAAATCCACAAGTCTCAATGCTTTAAACAGGGATTCAAACTGCAATGTACATGTAAGTGTATCCTCCCTTCCATTTTCTTTACTATTCAGCGACATTGGGCATTAAAATCGCCAAAGATTTTATGCAACTGTAAACTACAATCTGAATTTTACTTAATATGTACCTGTATTTATTGATGAAAAACGTTACTACACATCAAGACGGGTATAAATCGACTATAAAATGAAATACGAAGATAACGAACAGTAATCAAGCTCAGAAGTTCATTGAAAAAATACAAATTTGGAGCAGAGCAAACACAGACCTATATCAGAGGTGGGATCAGGTGCCATGGAGGAGTAAGCATCCTCTGTCGACCGGTCACATCAGTCGTGTGCTTCTTATTATAATCGGGTAAACTAAAATATCCGTACACAATTCAGTGTTAAAACAATGGCTTAGCAATTTGTATGACAAAAATCAGTCAACATTCGACTTAACGATAGATTGTATATGCTAACAAGGTCGTTATATCGACCATGGAATTTGAAAAATGTTGACTTTAAACGAGACAAACATTCAGAAATGTATTGAGCAAGCTTTTATGAGAAAATAAACATTTGGGGGTGGAGTTAAATGGATGGTATTTTGAAACTATTTTGTTATCAAAAACTGGTTGGTTTCCAGTTCCAGTAAATAACCTGTTGTTAGATAATTCTTCCATTATCCTTGTTTAAATTCTTAAGATAAAACATAACTAACATAATACGGGACTCAATTGACCAAATTCAGAGATCAATTGCTCTTGCTAAGATTGTTTGTTCGGAAAAGAAAAAAAGAAATCAACATCTATATTTTTGTCCTACAATAGAATGTATGCAAAGAGTGCAGTGGGATGAATCTAAAGCAAAACTGTAACTTGATATATACATGTACATATGAAATTGTTTAAATTCCTTGATACAAATCACATCCCAAACAGAAAGGTAACAAAATCGATCCATTTATATAGGCCTATTTTTCCCTCAACGATATCATTTAGCCATACCTTTAACACTAGTCAAATGCATCTACTCAGTAGGAAATACGTAAATACGTGACTTTTGATTGCTAAAGTCATTTTCATACACCTCAACATGACCAGATCATAAGGAGGGTTACCAATGAATATAAATACCCTTTTTCATTACAATTCGACATGTTTATATATTTTATGTAATAATCAATTGCTTTTATCTACATGGTAACAAGTTTCTTTTTTAAAAAACAAACTAATGTAGTGGATGTTAAAGGGTAGTTAACAATAGATTACCTCTGTAGTGGATGTTAAAGGGTAGTTAACAATAGATTACCTCTGTAGTGGATGTTAAAGGGTAGTTAACAATAGATTACCTCTACACCACTTTCTCTTCCTCTCCACTCTGTTTACAAATTATGAAAGAGAATACCACGGCAAGAAGCTGAAAAATGATAGGAAAATACGTGTTCAAGATATATTGAAACAATGGCTGTTGTGGAATCATTATAATTCTGAGGGATTCGTTCTTAATTACTGGAATTCGTGGGTAATCCTTAAGAATTGACAACCTCAACAGATATTGAAATATTGGTGATGTACATGTAATATATTTTTAAAAAAAACGGTCGCCCATGAAATTACGTTCCAAGGACCATGTTAATTTTGAGCAATCAATGATAATAGGCTAAGCCAATATCTTACAGTCTTATAGGAACTCTTTTGAATTAAAGATACGTTAATCCTACATGTTAGAGACAATGAAGTGACAAATGATGCAATGTAGCTCCGGATCTCAGAATTAAAGAAGAGATACAAGATTAGGGAATGTGACGTTTATCACTCAGACAAAAATAGAGACAAGTAGTCAGTGTTGTATGGCTGTCTCAAGTGTACCCAAAACTTTTCGCTAAATTTGTACTCCATCACATTTCCACAAGAAAAGGCCGATAAGGGAAGTTATTTAAGATAGTCGCTATTAATCTAACTGTCCCACGTAAAGTTGTACTCACTATTTTATCAAAATCAGTAGTGATTGTGTAGAGGAAGTTTAATATAAGACGAATTTATCTTGTATTGTTTAACAAGAGGCCCAAGGGCCTTAACGGTCACCTGAGTATAATACAACAATTTAGAGGATCCATAGAGTATAAAATGAACTGAAAGGTGAATCTTTGTTGCCCAAAAGCAAGAAAAATAGGGTGATCAGGATCAACAAAATAATTAGTCTAGTGTTCATTAACAGTACATAAATTAGGTTCTAATCTGTTCCCCATTTATCACTCTCACCAGACAGTATATAAACAAACTTATAATCAGTGCTTCTGTACTCTTTTAATTCCTTGTTGAAATCTCTTACATTGGCCTCTCTTGGTCTTTGATGAACATTTAATAAGACAAGTTATTTTTGTCTCATTTTTATTTATCTGTTACTTACAAGTCTACCTGATCATTAAAACTACAGTATGAAAGTACTTTTTGTATTTTACAATAAAAATTCTTGCATAATTCTCTTATTCTATTAACCTCTCAAGTACATTATTTACAGTGATTAATTAACATAAATAAATGGCAAAGGGGAATAACTCCTCTCAATAGAATACAAATTAACAGAGCCCTGGCCTGGACAAGAACACTTGATCAAATGGTTCTGATGTTCAAAAATCTGGTAAAAATACCCTTCCTTATTAAAACTTTTACTATATTTGCCTCTGATATGCCCAGGTGCAGAGAAGATTTTTAAAGCATTAATGCATTTTCACTATATAATAAATAGAGCCCCGCCCTAATATCAGAACCTCTGATCCAGGGGTCATGAAATTCACAATTTTGGAAGAGGCATCCTTGCTTATTATAACCATGTATTTGTTTAAATAATATCCAGGAGAAGAGAAGAAGATTTTCAAAGAAATAAGGCACTTTCACTATATGATCTATATAGCCCCGCCCTAGCACCAGAACCCCTGACCCTGGGGCTATGAATTTCACAATTTCGGTAGAGTCACCCTTGCTTATCATAGCTATGTATTTAATTTGTTTAAATAATACCCAGGAGTAGAGAAGAAGATTTTCAAAGAAATAATGCACTTTCATTATATGATCTATATAGCCCCGCCCTAACACCAGAACCCCTGACCCTGGGGCCATGAATTTCACAATTTTGGTAGAGTCACTCTTGCTTATCATAACTATGTATTTAATTTGTTTAAATAATACCCAGGAGTGGAAAAGAAGATTTTCAAAGAAATAATGCACTTTCATTATATGATCTATATAGCCCCGCCCTAACACCAGAACCCCTGACCCTGGGGCTATGAATTTCACAATTTTGGTAGAGTCACTCTTGCTTATCATAACTATGTTTTTAATTTGTTTCAATAATACCCAGGAGTAGAGAAGAAGATTTTCAAAGAAATAATACACTTTCACTATATGACCTATATAGTCCCACCCTAGCACCAGAACCCCTGACCCTGGGGTCATGAATTTCACAATTTTGGTAGAGTCACCCTTGCTTATCATAACTATGTATTCAATTTGTTTCAATAATACCCAGGAGTAGAGAAGAAGATTTTTTAAGAAATAAAGCATTTACACTATATGATCTATATAGCCCCGCCCTAGCACCAGAACCCCTGACCCTGGGGCTATGAATTTCACAATTTTGGTAGAGTCACCCTTGCTTATCATAACTATGTATTCAATTTGTTTCAATAATACCCAGGAGTAGAGAAGAAGATTTTCAAAGAAATAATGCACTTTCATTATATGATCTATATAGCCCCGCCCTAACACCAGAACCCCTGACCCTGGGGCCATGAATTTCACAATTTTGGTAGAGGGCGCAATGCTTATTACAATCATGCCAACAGTTTGACTGCTTGATGTCCAGGAGTAAAGAAGAAGATTTTTAAAGATTGCATTAATTTTGATGGTTTTGGCCCCACCCCTCAGGCCCCAGGGGGGCAGGGGCCACGAATTTCACAATTTTTGTTCCCCTTCACCCATAGATGCTATATGCCAAATTTGGTTGAAATTGGTTCACTGGTTCCAGAGAAGAAGCTGAAAATGTTCAAAAGTTTACGACCGACGGACGACGCACGACGCACAACGACGGACGAAAAGAGATAGCAATAGGTCACCTGAGTGACTCAGGTGACCTAAAAATGTAGAAATTTTCCACCATACCAAATCGGACGTAATTCAATGATCTACCCCGCTGTTTCCGAGATAATTCGATCTGATTATTTCATGACATTTAAAGTTCTGAGCATAAATTCCCTTTATACAATAAGAAAGCAAAACAAAAACAATATTAAACACCCAGTGCAGATAATTTATTACTGCATATAAAATGCTTTTTCTTCGTAGCTCGTCCATCATAAGCCATTATTTCAACAAAGCTGAAAGGAATCTAATGATTACCAAAAAGAATGCGATGTATTTGCAAAAGCACGTAACAAAATCGTAACACTCAAACCCACCGTTCGTAATGCAAAACCTTAGACCTGAAAAAACTCAGTAAACTCAGGTGACCTAAAAATAAAGCTTTTTTTTTCCAAAAGCAAGGAAAATAGTAAGATTTATCTATCTGTCCCCCATTTATCGCTATTACCATACAGACTTTTAACAAAATATCTCAAACTGGCCTCACTTGGCCTTTGAAGAACATTAAAAAAGATAAGTTATTTTTGTTTCACTTTTATTCATCTATTACTTCCAGGTCTACCTGATCATTAAAACTAGGAAAGTACTTTTTGTATTATACAATCAATGTTCTTGCATAATTCTCTTATTCTATTAACCTTTCAAATACATTATCTACACTGATTAATTATCAAAGGTGAATGGCAAAGGGGAATAACTTCACTCAGTAGAATACAAATTAATAGAGCCCTGGCCAGGACCAGAACACTTGACCAAATGGTCCAGATGTTTAAAATTCTGGTAAAAATACCCTTGCTTATTAAAACTTTTACTCTGTTTGCCTCCAATATGCCCAGGAGCAGAGAAGATTTTCAAAGAAATAATGCACTTTTACTATTTAACACAGCCCTACCCTAACACCAGAACCATGACCGAGGGTCATGAAATTTACAAATTTAGAAGAGGTACCCTCATCATCATAACTATGCAATTAGTTGAAGATTTTCAAAGAATTCACACATTTTCACTATATTATCAATAGAGCCCCCCCCCCCCCCTCCCACCCCCTCAGAAAAACAGCAGAACCCCTGGGACCACAAGTTTTAAAAATTTTGTAAAAGCATCCTTGTTCATCATAAATATACACTTGTTTCTTTGCTTTATAACCAGGAGTAGAAAAAATATTTTGAAAGAAATTATGAATTTTCACTATATAATCAGTAGAGCCACCCCCCCTTTCACAAGAACCCCTGACCCTGGGGCCATGAATTTCACAATTTTGGAAGAGGCATTTTTGCTTATCATAACCATGCAATTCCTTTGTTTAAATAATACCCAGGAGCAGAGAAGATTTTCAAAGAATTGATGCATATATACTATATAAAGAACTATATAATCAATAGAGCCCCACCCTAACAGCAGAACCCCTGATTCAGGGGCCATGAAATTCACAATTTCTGAAGAGGCACTCTTGCTCATCATAACTATGTTTTTAGTTAATTTCTTTAATACCCATAAGCAGAGAAGAAGATATTCAAAGAAATAATGCATTTTCACTATATAATCAATAACCCCCCCCCCCCTTCACCAAAACCCCTGACCCAGGGGCAATGAAATTCAAAATTTCTGAAGAGGCACTCTTGCTCATCATAACTATGTACTTGGTTAGTTTATTTCATACCCATAAGCAGAGAAGAAGATTTTCAAAGAAATAATGCATTTTCACTATATAATCAATAGAGCCCCCCCTTTCACCAGAACCCCTGACCCAGGGGCCATGAAATTCACAATTTTGGAAGGGGCATTCTTGCTTATCATAACTGTGTACTTAGTTAGTTTATTTTATACCCAGGAGCAGAGAAGAAGATTTTTGAAGAAATAATGCACTTTTACTATATGATCTATATAGCCCCGCCCTAGCCCCAGAACCCCTTACCCTGGGGCCATGAATTTCACAATTTTGGTAGAGGGCTCAATGCTTATTACAATCATGCTAACAGTTTGACTGCTTGATGTCCAGGAGTAAAGAAGAAGATTTTTAAAGATTGCATTAATTTTAGTGGTTTTTGCCCCACCCCTCAGGCCCCAGGGGGGCAGGGACCATGAAATTCACAAATTTTGTCCCCCTTCACCCATAGATGTTATATGCCAAATTTGGTTGAAATTGGTTGAGCGGTTTCAGAGAAGAAGCTGAAAATGTTCAAATGTTAACGCACAACGCACGACGCACGCCGACGGACGAAAACGGATAGCAATAGGTCACCTGAGTGACTCAGGTGACCTAAAAAGATGATATTTCAGTAAATCAATTATTTCTTCATTTACCTCAATAACAAGAATTGTGACTCCAACACCGATAACCTGACTGGAATGAGATTCGATCTCGTCTTTCACTGCTTCGTAACACCCCTGAAAGTTTCATTTCATAACTTTTAATGTTTTGTGTAAAATGAATTCCAATTTCATACAGTATGATGAAAAGTATGCTTTTACGCCTGTTGCCAAAGATGTGGGATGGACTCAACATCGATGGATTAATTCAAAAATTTATTTTTTTTAATAAAAAATTATTGACTTTTTTCATAAATTTGACAGTAATGTTCTGCTACCTTAGAGTTGATGCCGCTAGTGCCAGCCGTGCAGTCAGAGGGCGCTGACAGGTAGTTACTGGCGTCCACACCCTGACAGCAAGCGTGGGGGACAAAGAAGTTGGTGTCTTTGCAAGCTCCAGAGGTAGTGCACCAGGGAGATTTCCTGAGATCGTTCTTAGCTTCATCCGGTCCGGTCACAGGATTTACACCACAACAGTCCAACTGTAAATACAATACTAACATGTTTGTTTGCCTAATTAACCACTGTATATATCAAATGAATTCAATTTGTATTTTAAAAACATTAATTTTTACATATTTACCGTCAGAAACATGTAGTTCCACGAATTTGATATTTCATCGCTGCTATTCAGATGGTGGTCTACAAAGTTCGTTTGTAGAGACTTCAGCATCCCCGATTTCACGGTGTCTTCAACCTTAAAAGAACATTACGATAAGCTTCAATTAAGTCGGATTTCAAGATATCAAAATGATTTAAGGTCAATTAATTGAGCCTTTGACAGGCATGGCATTCAAACGTGTACATTTAACTAAATTATTTTGATGTCATCTTTCATAACTATTATATTATTATTTGCAATACATTCGTTATTCCTTCTATAAACCATTCCCAAGTAAGAAAATGTATTTCTTGTTCAATTTAATTATAAACTGTATGGAAAATGAAATAGATTATCATGACATGTTTCAAAACATAGAAAGATTTATTAAGTTCACTGAGTGACAGTAAATAATATTACCTCTGATTTCATTGAGAACCACAGTGCAATGGCGACGATTTTCATGATGAACAATATCAGTACTAAAACAGCATACTAAAATACAAATATAAGAACTAGTATTTAAGGTCAAACGACACGTTCCTCAAAAATGAATAATTTTTTTCAAAAATTTGTCATTGAAGTATTGATACTTTAACAAGTTTCCTCACAAAAAAATTAAGGTACCTTACCAGGTATTTTTGCAAGATACAAGAGGACGTTACATGCATTTACAATGTAATCCTATTGGAAATCACTAGCATTGCTAATATCACAAGTTTTTGGTGTCTTTATCTACTTAGGTATTTTGAAAACAGTTTAAAAATCATAAGATAATGATAATTATGATTAATTTGATGTATATTTTGGGAGATACAAAACATATATTCGAGCAATGTGTCGTTAGACCTTGAAATTAATTTCTACAAGACCGTGACATTTAGACATTCAGAGTTGTTCAGGTATGGTTAAATTTCAAGCGACAGTTCTGTACTGTTTATATCTTTACAGAATAAATTAATTCCATATTAAAAGTTCTTACTGTAACCAGCATGCATCTGTTCTGACAACAAGCACCAAAAAGACCAAGACCAGCGACGATAAAGATGAAGACGCCGATGACAATGAGGAGTATGGAGAGATTGTCGGTCAGGTTCCCAAGTTTATATGAACTGACAGTGATCGTGTTCAGAGCTGGCTTAATCTCGTCTTTGATGATCTTTACATTTGCTTTCATTAAAGCCCCCACTATCAGTAACCCTAGACCGAGCAGCTGAAAATATAGATATAATCTGAATATGCATGAGAAAACTCTTCTTCATTAGCTCAAAGGGTATTAAACTTTCACTTTATTTCTATTACAATTCTCTTTTCTGTTTGAACTTTCAGTAAGGCGTGCCATTCTCGGCTATACATAATTAGCGTCTTTCAAATAGTGACCTATATTCTCATTGGTTGCCAGATAAGCTCATCAATATTGAAATTTACACAGCTTTTCATTCACGGGTGAAATACACATGGGATAAAAATGGGACGGACGTTATTGTGTGACGCAAGGAACCAATTACATCGTTTCTTGCAGTAAAGAGGCGTGGCTTATGTCATCTCATCGTTTGTCAACAACAATCTAAAGCTGCTAATGTTATTAGTTTCTTATCCAGTGAAAATCTAGGTCACCTTTTGAGAGACGCTAATTATGTATCGCCGAGAATGTCACGCCTTACTGAAAGTTCAAGCAGAAAAGAGAATTGTACTAATTGTTTTGAAAATGAATGCTTCAAACATATTCAGGTACAATTCATTGTTTAAATCTCATTCTTTGTTCTCATAGTTTTTTCTGCATGCTTCGATCTACGATTTTAAAAATGTTTTGGAAGTATATGTATCCAAATATAGGTATCATTTATATATGCATCAAAAAGCAAAATTTATTCCAGTCATTAATAGTGTTATTTTTGTTTCCAATTATCGCTTCTGTATTTTAAAACAGTGCCCTATAAGGCTATCTTTAAAAAACTGTTTGGTTGCCTTCTCCCGACCGACTGACTAAAACGGCCAGACTCAAAACTTTTTTTTTACCTTCAGGAAACAATTTTATCTTTATTTATTAGGAAGTTTTCTCGCCTTTTAAAAAATAATTATTTTAACTGCATATTTGCAAGTGGTTTGGAATTAACCCCCCACCCCCACCTACCCACCCAATTTTTTTTTATCTTGAGTCTGGAGAGGGCAAGCAAACAAGTTTTTAGAGATGCCATAATACAGTATTACTTACAAAAAATATAATGTTGATGACGATCAGGAAAATTTTTCCCAGAGTTCCTCCACAACTCAAACCCATCTCAGAAGGTTAAAGTCAGCTAAAAATATACAAATATGTTCAAATATCATGTTTATGAATGCATTTGAAAGATGTTGCTTACAGTGTTAATCTGAAAAAGAAATCGACTCTGGAAATGGTAAGATTTGAAAACTAAGCATGGGGAAAGCTGTTTGAATTACACTGGAAAAGTTAAGAAACCGTTTTCAAAATCCAAAACATCTTAAATAATTTCTCTGTTAATGTAAGGCTCCTAAGTCCAGAAAATATTAATCAATAGTTTCTCAGCCACCGCTGCTTCAGGCCAAAAACTGCCGTATTGATCAATTTTATTGACATTTTGAAAAGGGGAATAACTCAATTTTCTTTTTTTTCCAAGTTGAAAAAGAAAATTGAGTTATTCCTCTTTTCATACATGCTAATAAATAGACGTTTTTATTAGATAAACAATACATTACATGTACTTGTTAATACGGTATTTTTTAAAATAACTTAAACAAATGTTTGGAATAACATTATTTTATGTTGAATATATATTATAATTAATGTTAAAAGTAAGAATCAGTTGATATTATCATTTTGTTTAATGGCTGGCATGAAAAAAGGGATAACACCTGCTTCCACAAAAAAAAAAACAGCCTGCCGCATTGAAGTTTGAAAATTTTGGCCTGAGAAGCTACTAGTATTAATTAATTTTATTTGGCCTAAGTACATGTATTATAAATTGACATATATATGCAACATGTTGTAACAAATTATCCATCTGAAGAAAAGGCAGTGAAACTCACACATTACTTGAAAATTATAACAACAACAAAACCTTCTAACGGCTCAAAAACAAAGTTACTGTTAGATAATATCAGAAAAATTTTGTGCAGCCTCATTTATGATTGATGAAAAAAGTATTAAACGAAAGAAAGAACATATGACTTCCAAACAGAAAATGGCATGAAATATGTTTCGGGGATATTATTAGAAATAACATAATGAAACTCTGTAGATGAAGTATTGCAGAAGCTGACAATATGGCATATAATGAGGATCATAGGGGCTTCATTAGGGAAATAACGTAATTATTAGGTCAAAAATGCGGAATCAATAACGTCGTACGAAGACAATACCAAACATCAATAACCTAAAAAGCAGTCGCTGTGGTACAGTGTTAGTTAATATTGTCTTCTGTGTTAGTTAATAATGTCGTCTGCTCTGTACGTCCATTTCAAAAATACAGCTGTAGGCCTTCCAATGGTAAATGAACATATGTGCATATTCACTTACAAATGTTAAAAAAATTTCCGCATAAAAGCAAATACATGTACATATATTAAAAGGAAGCTTCAGTTGAATTCCAAAGTAAGACTCTTTGCTTCTGTTATGTTTTAAGCAATTTTGGCATTTAATGATAAAGTTTTCAGGACAAAAATTACATGCAATAAAATTTAAAATTAGTCATGCAAAATTTTAAACTCCAATGACCATAATTTTAAGATGGGGATAAGAAACTAAGACGACCTGCTGAATATTTCACGTCGACTTCAATTGTGATAGCAACGGTGTCTTTTCGAAGTTTTAAATCATGCATTTCCTTTTCAGATGACTCCGAACCGGGAGTTATTTCTTTTGACGCATAAAGATGGAAACTAAAGAAGCAGAACTCCATTTCCATTCTGTTCAGATATGACAAAAAATACATTTTAGAAGATTTTTAAAAGATGATATTTAAGAGTACAATAAAAAAAAAAGAAGAGAAAACTGTGTGAGAAAAGTATTTTGAGAGCTCTTTTTTCAGTGAGTTAAGAAGAGATAAGATTGTAAACCTGTTCCGGAATCCTGACTATCTTAAGAATGTCACACACGGTGTTGATATTAACCTTTCTTAAGGCACGTCCGGTGACACTTGTAAAGCTCCTGCCCCGGGGCAAGATGGAACAGTCAATCGTTGATATGTTTATAAACACAATATTCTTAAGTGTAGAGCAATTATAGTATAAGAGAAAGGTTATTATTAGTACCGTGCCATAGTTCGTCAATATATCATATAACAAAAGCAAAACAGAAACTTATAGGAGGCTCTCTATTCCAGAGGGTATCTAACCAATCCATATATAGCCATGTGTTCCAAATATAACAGAAATAAGCAGACAATATATAAAGCATAAATAATGTCATTTCATTTTCTTTCTTGTAGACAATATGTAAAGCATAGACAACTGCTAACTTAGTGGATACACTGCATCGTAGTTCAACTCATGATGAAAAAACTTTCAAGTCCATTGTTACAAAATCTTCGATTTTTATAAAGTCAAAAGCACTCAAAAGTTAGATGATGACTGTGTCTTTAAGACAGTTAGATGATGATTGTGTCTTTAAAATACAGTTAGATGATGTTTGTGTCTTTAAAATATATATTGTTAGATGATGATTGTTTCTTTAAGACATAGTTAGATGATGATGGTGTCTTTAAGATATAGTTAGATGATGTTTGTGTCTTTAAGATATAGTTAGATGATGATTGTGTCTTTAAGATATAGTTTGATGATGTTTGTGTCTTAAAGATATAGTTAGATGACTTTGTCTTTAAGATATAGTTAGATGATGATTGCGCCTTTAAGATAAAGTTAGATGATAATTGTGTCTTTAAGATATAGTTAGATGGTGATTGTCCTCGATTTATAAGTCTCAAATGCGTCTTATATTAATTAAAATAGTCAGACTGAACAGATTCATTCTACATTACTGAAGTAGATCTAATTATTTTTGATGGACACATAAAATATGCGTATCTTGTGACATGTTTACAGGGGTCATATTGTTAGCGCACATGCCCTTAAGCTCCAATAGTACTTCCATCGTCGATCGATCTTCTTTATAATTAACACAATATAGTGGCCATATTTGTACCTAGCTTACAATTTGGAACAAATCAATACACATTTGTACAGGTATAACACTTCCTCCTAGTTACGCAGCAAACAGACACACCTTTTTAATAAGGATGTTTTGTTGACGCTGTTTTGTGTATTATTTGCAGAATTATACAATCATAATTTGTAACATTTCATTTATATATATTTTATTATATATACATAGAGAGAGAGAAAGTTCTCAAGTTGTAATAATGCAGGGTTCATCGGCATATTATCATTTTGCCGACATATTTAGTGCTAAAAAAATTCAGGTTTTTTAATTTGAAAAATCTTTACAAAATATTAACAAACTAGTTAACATTAGAAATAATAGAATTCCTAGTAAAGAATAAAAGACTCACGTATACCTTTGAGCTCTGTTGAGAAACTACTGATACGTGCGTTAAGGATTTTACTATGTGGAAAATAAATTTATACAGGTGAATAATTTCCTGCATCGGGTATTCTTAAAACTGTGCAGGTATGACTTACATTATTAACGGTTGACTAAAGGCAATTGCAAGTTATTTGAAATACATACCGTTTACAAAATTGCCAGTATTTCGCCGATTCAACTCCACCGCCTTCAACACAATGTATGAGTTATATAGTAACTGATCTGTTTATATCATTCCATGAGTACGTATGACACGGAGGGACTATTCAAACAGAGGGCAAAGTGGTGCGATCGAATGCCACACATTCATGTACAGACAATAAAACATATAATTATGTCAATGACCACCTACAGGAAAAAAATTAACATGTCAACAGGCAATGGACTACATGCTTTGGGGGGGGGGGGGGGGGGAGGGGGGTATGGAATCCGGATAGGGCCACGGAGTTCACTATAGGACCATCAAGGTTTAGGTCGATAGTGCGATGATGCGATAATGCGATGACGATGAAGCGATGGTGCGATAACGATGAAGCGATGGTGCGATAGCGCGTTGACGATGATGCGATGGCACGATAAAACGATGACGATGAAGCGATGGCACGATGAACCGATAGGGCGATGTTCACTATCGCACCATCGTCATCGCATTATCGCACCATCGCATCATCGTCATCGCACCATAACTTCATCGTCATCGCGCCATCGATTCATCGTTATCGCGCCATCGCATTATCGCGCCATCGACCCTTCAGTCGGTGCTCGATGATGCGATAGTGAACTACATGGCCCTATCCGGATTCCATGGGGGGGGGGGGGGGCAGAAATCTTAAGTGTAAAGTGTAACTAAATAAAGGGAAAGGATCTCAACACAATATCGGTTTGGGATTTTAGTACCTTCTGGAATATTCTTCTTCAACATACATCAACAAGGATAAAAAAATTACCGCTCTTTGATTTAGGTTGAAGGCACGATAAGTTAAGATCACGATTATAATTATTACAACAACAAACTTACCCTAACAAAAATTACTATAGTATACTACAGCAAAAGATAGTTTACTATTATAATATAGTTTTCCATATACATGTAGAAGACCAAATTATCAAATTTTTTCTATATCTTGAATCAAATTATTAACTATAGTAATTCAATGTTCATTTTGTCACTACTATAGTTTATTTAAAAAATAATAGTTTACTATGGTATATCGAAGTTCCATATTATAAATTTGCAAGAAATAAATCAACTTACATGTGTATTTACCACAAGGCTATTGTTGGAACTGAGTCAGACAAATCAGAATTTGACGTGTGAAAATACAAAACATGAAAGTTATTATTTATCTGACTGTTTAAAACATTCGTATTTTAAATTTGTTTTTAAACTTCTCCAGCCTCAGATCATTCATACATGAACAAAAAATGTATTCCTTTTATTCTAACGTAAAACACTGTGATAAAATATATTGCTTCTGGTTATTAATTTATCATGGACCCATCTTTACTTCGTCGAGGTTCACTTATCCTTACGTAAGAGATAAAATACATTACATCTACGTATCCCTCGCTCAGATAAATTTCCGAGAAAAAAAATTGAAATTTGAAAGTGATACTAACTTTGGTTTATTTTTTAAGATGTCCGCTTTTCAGCCAGGTACGTTAACTCTTAAAATAATTATTAAACTGAATATGCCTCAAAATAAAGCTTGTAATTTATTTGTGTGTGTGTATGTGCAACAATTTGTCATTTTTCATTTCATGTATCTAAATATGATACGAGGTTCTTTGAAGTCTTAGAAATGGTTTTGTAAAATCAGATTTTTGCACCCATTTAGAGTAATCGAATTCCCTTTAATCTTGCCTTCGATACATGTACCAATGTTTATTAGCATGAAATGAAATTGGAATTGATATGTATCCCCTTGCAATGATATCGGATGATTTTTACACTATGTACAATATAACAATTGAAATGAAATCGATAAAGATAATGAACAGTGATCGATCTAAAAAAAAAAAAAAAAAAAAAAAAAAAAAACATATGATCAATCCAAATGTGTGAACAGGGCATAAAACACGGACCCCTAGAAATTCCAGAGGGCAGATCAGATGCTTAAAAGTAGTAAGGATCGCCGTGAGCCCTATATATTAATCGGGTAGACGAAATACTAGTAACATGTAGTCAAAATTACTATAAAAACAAAAACCTAACAATGTCAGTCAAAATACAACCAAATGATATGTTAAAGTTACTAACAAGGTCATTATAACGACCATAGAATTTACAGAATGCTGATTTAAAATGAGGTTGAAATCCCTGTAACATCAAATTATGTGTCAGTAGCTTGACTCGGTTTAAAATTGATCGTACTCAAACAATGCCCAAAAATATCTAATAAGCTGTGAAACATAAACACCATATGCAGCAGATAGCGGAATATTACTACATAAATGAGGAAAACTGACGATGGAAAGCCGAAATATGAAACAGATGTGACAGAATCCGTTGCTGTCTTTCATTTCTAGTTCTGTAGGATATATCGAGTCGACATATGCAGGGAAGTAACTATTGTTAATTGATAAAACTTCGTCATTATATCGAAATGTCTAGAAGGCCACAGCAATGAAAAAGGTGAAGAACAGTAATCGGTCTCAGAAAATCTACAAACAATACAAATCTGTCAACAGGGCATAAAACACAGACCCCCGGAAATTCCAGGGATGGGATCAGGTGCCCTAGCTTTTTTTTTCTTCTTCTCATGTAGAAGCTTTTAAATAAATATAAAACAGGTTGGCTATTTAAAGAGAATAATTAGTGCCCATTATAATTCCAACAGATTGTTAGAAGACCCGGTCTCTAAAGACTTTATAGATGTTGTCAATGAGGAACTCCAGCATCCTTTAAATATCAACCTCTGAGTATTTAATTATGTGTAGAATCAGAGTGATTTTTTTACGAAGTAGTTTTGTAGATGCATGACCATTCACAAAATATGAAAATTTCTGTTTTCCAGTTTTATTGAAGAAGCAGTTGTCTATGATATCAAAAAGCTTAGGTTTTAATTTATCGTCATGTAATGCTTGTATAAAGTGTGGAAAAGTCATACGTTGTGATTTTATCGACTTTTGAAAAAAATTAAAATTATCTTATAATTCTTTGAAGTTTTTGAGAATACACATTTGATTAACACCACTTTTCGGATGTTTGCTGTAGCACAGTACGTCTGATGTTTGTCCTTCACAGCAGTTAATATTTTTGTAAGAAGTAAAGAAACGGGCCTGTAAGCAGTTGCTGGACCCCGTCCCGGTAATGTATCTTTGTTTGTAAAGATCCAATTTAGGTAGAGTAGATCGATCATATTTTCTCTATGGGTTTTTAAAAAAAAAAGTGTGGCATTCTTGGGGCTCGAACCAAAGCAGTAAAAATCCTGCTATTTATCTTTTCTTTGAGACTAACACACTAATCACGGCACCACACAACTCATGGGAAACAGCGGCATTAAAATCTAAAGACCTTGACTAAATGCACTTCAAAAAAAATTTCTCAGAAAAATACAAACGTTGTGCCATAAAAGTGTATTTTTACGGTGTAGTGGGTCTTTGCTTCATATTTTTGTTTACCAAAACTGTAATTTTTTACGCATACTTCGAGGATATAAACTTAAAAAAAATATGGAGAAACTGTGTTATAGTATAAAGAAATGATCATTTTGCCCTCTTTCGTGTGTGTGTCCTATTTCATAGACGAATAATTTCAATTTCTTTGATATTGTTTCAAATTATGAAGATTAACATAAAGTATATGTTAATGTTAAATGAAATATCAAAGAAAATTTTGTTATAATTGAGATTTAATTTTTCACTTTCTTTTTTGTAGCACCATAGGCATTTTGCTCGCCTTGTTCGCCCATCTTCTTTTAGTATTAAATGATAAATACTTCTGGCTGCCTACATTGCTGTATGGGAATATCATAAAACACATCGTAATCGAATTCTAGATGCAAAATCTGAATTTTCGTTGGTGCTCTACTTTTAATTACGCGCAGGTGCAGGTTATATTGACCAAGTTTAACTAGACTTCCATCTTATTCGAATTCGACAAATTTTCTTTACACTTTAAAATTAATCCAAAAAAGATAAAACTATATTCGTAGGATTCTAGGTCTTATTATGTGAAAAAAAATGTTTGTACAACAATATGAGAGAAGGGAGCTTATCCCTCTTCTTCCGCCATCTTGAAGTTTAACAAAAAATACAAAAGCTACAGATAATATTGCGACAAGTGACATTCAACAACTTTAAGTTTCCATGGGAATGAACAGAAAAAGCAGAGTTTGTCATCTCGTTATCTCAGAATTAAATGTGATTTGTCATCTGCATATTGATTTTTACGTGTGCAGATCCCCTTAAACTCTATACTGACTCCAGGCAGAGAGGGTGTTGTTGACTTAATTGTTTTAACATTCCGTAGAAAAGACGTAAAAACTGAGCTACTTATCTGTGTGTACGTGGCTCGGACTAAAATTATTAATTTCAATGTACTGAAATGCAGATTTGTCAAATTTGAACAATAATTCACAATTAACAGTGGCGTTCAAATGTTTATAGCTGTATATCTCTGTAGATACATGGCTCTCGGGCCATAAATTAAAACTTAGAGTAGGTCAGTTTTTTTATTTCAGTCTCACTGTCATGAATTAGTGCTAAAAGTGACACTGAGATCAAAAGTGAGATATTCTTTCTTTTATGGCTCTTGAGCCTGCTGGTTATCGTTTTCATCATTACAAGCACAATTTGGTCATTATACTCTCTGTAATGATGACTGTGTTATTTTAATTTCTCTTTGTCATTTAATACTGTCCATTAAACCTTTAATGATTCATTCAATACATGTAGATAATTTCGATGCATATCAGACATGTATATTTCCGTGAAATTAGCTTTTCTGTTTGCACCACGTGTCTCAATGTATACTTCATAAGGTTCAATTATTAGGAACCAAGCAAAACCACATACAATGTATACTGCTATACTAAAATAAACAAATTATTTGTGTTATTTTTTACGATCTTCTTTGGTCTATCTCAAGCAAAAAAAAAGTAACGATCGGAAATTCTATTAATCAATAATGTGAACAGTCTCGGCATCATCACAATCATTTATATAAGGTCAATAGCTGCATCATAAACATATATAAGGTCAATAGCTGCATGTACTTACATGGCAAGTATTCGGAAGTTGCTGGCTGGCCTGTCCAGTCTCACTTTGTTAACATTTAACACGAAAGAGATGTATCACCATAAATATCTACATCCATGAACGTTTAATGATTTGGTCGCAGTATTGGTATTTCCGAGAAGAGTAACTTTTTTCGTACGTGGCTCCAAGCCAATATTCAGAGATCTCGTCTCTTCAGCATACAATTAGATGGGTATCTCTACAGCCAAGTGAATGGCTAAGCGTCGTTGGATCTGCGCATGTGTGGGTAACTTATACTGCAAGTGATGTATTTTGAATGAAAAGGTGCTGCCTTCTAGAATCTTCTACCTTCCTCCCCACACCCCTATTCTCCTCCTTTGCAGGCACTCTCCTCCTCCGGGCTACCTTTCATATTGAATATTTTCAGATGGCGGTGTATCTAGATTTTGTTCTCGAGAGAAAGGTGCAAAAAATTTCTAGACTGAAAGCTGAAGGTGCATCGTTAGCTTGACATTTGGTCTTCCGACTTTTTGACCCTCAAATAAATAGGCTTCTTCTTCTGGTCATTCCTCTGTAGTAAGTCAATTGATACTCTTCATATCATATAAACAATATTAAAAAGAGGATTCTGGTCTTGATCTTTTCCCTTTTTTGATTTTTAAATGAAGAGAAATGTAATTGTACCCTCGGTCACTTGAAAAATTCTGTTAGAGTAGCAGGTTTAACACTGAACACTGAACAGTCAAATTGTACTCCATAGACAAAACATTGACTAATATAACTATTTGACATTCATTAATATTTCCTTTTGCCGATGTTTTGTAAGGTATAATCTAGGGTTATAACGTCATAACTGCATCACTTTTGTGTGACCTAAGAGGACGGGGCTAATGAGAGAGGATGGGACCAGAAAGGGTGTAGGCGATATAGAGAGGTGTTCTTGTAAAGTATGTATACCTATATGCGTATAAACAGTTAGCTCCAGTATCTCTGAGATAAGTAAATAAGTGACTATAATATGTCAATTAATGGTGTGTGTTAGGAATTGAGTTAAACCCACATGAAAGCATGGGATCTTGTATTAATTATCACGTGCTACCATTTCCAGTATCGCCGGACACACACACATAAAAAACAAACACATTGCTTAAATAACTTGTTTCCCTAGATATCTGTAAAATATTAATGTACAATCATTAATTATTTGCCTGATATACTAATCCTGAAAATAAAATGACATCGATATTCTATTGCGTAGTAAAACACTATTATTTATTACAGACCCTGGAGATTGATGCTGTTCGATTTTTGAGAGGACATCATATAACGTACTTGATCTAACTGAAATGTTGAAAACGTGCTGTCAAATCAAATTTCAAGTAGAAATCCATCGAGGAGCACCATTACACGTATCTGATCAAATATTAAAATTTCTCAAATGGTATTGTACTGTTTATGTCCTTTTTCCGAAAGGTTAAATGTCTCCCAAAAGAGGATATTTTGCGCTCTCGTTTTTGAAAGTAGGACATTGTGTGTATGACTTTCTAAGTTGCATTAATTTTTCCTCCTCTGCGTTAGGTTTTAGCATTTGTCAAGTCCTATCAAAATCACTTGGTTTCTGCTTTGAAAATTAGGAAAAAAACAAATGAAATAAGAAAAAGGCAGTATTACTCTCTATCATTCACCTCTGTCGTTGGCTCCGCAGGCTATGGTTGGCTCGTGTATATCACAGTGATAAGCACGAGAAATAGTCCGTTTTGTTTAAATTCATTCTAATTAAATGCCTGGACTAATGTTTCTCTTTTAATGTAGATATTTACAAAGTATATCTAGAACTATTAGTTTAATTTGAAATAATCCTTGGAATGTCATGTTTTTTACGTTATGTCAAAAATCTTGACGTGAGCCCATCGCAGAGGTGTCTGAAAGAGAAACGAACGACAACTCTGCAAGGGAGATTGAGGCAGTATATGAAGCCAATTTTATATCATTTGACTTAAATTAATTCTGAAATAAGGTCAAAAAGGAAAAAGGCGGTATTTGAAGCAAATTTTATATCATTTGACTTCAATTAATTCAGCTAGTCTATGTACGTGCACCCTTCAATATTTTCATACACATATATATCATGTATATATCTCTGAATTCAGCATCGAGCATGGAACTTCATTTCATAACGAAGTTCTACAGGTTGAATATAATAAGAGATTAGATACTGATACAAAAAGGTGTGTTCCTGTCAAGAAAAGAGAAGAACCATGTTTTATTTATAGCTTCACGGTAAAACAAGAACCCGAATGGTAACAATGCAGGTATGAGAGTTAATAAAACACTGGAGAGGATTCGTCTGGTCGGTTGTCTTAATATCTGGTAATATACGTTTAGCTTAATAAGGTAGAGAAAGACTCAGAGACTGTGCAGCGTGAGATTAAGGTTCCATATAATACATGCATGTGTTCGTTGCTTATACCGGTTTTCTCCATCTTGAGTTCCCTCTTTTTTAATTGTCATAAGACATTCGGTAAGATTTGTGAATTTAAGAGGGCTGGGTGGTTGTGGCCATTTTTAGACTTTATTGATCTCCTTTAGAAGAAGAGCTCCATATAAAGATATACAAAAATGATCAAATTTTAAAACTAAAATTTATGAAATTTTTCTTTGCCAAATGATAGTTGACAGTTTAAGATATCATATCTAAAAACTTAAGTTATATCTGATGGTTAATTTGATGACCCCCCCCCCCAGCCTCCTTAATTTGACAATTTAAAAATAAATAGGGAAGGGGGGGAGGTCCACCCCAGTCAATATGGGGACAATATCTCGCAAATTAAATCTGTTTGAATATGTTCATTATGTTTTTCATGTTGCCCCATACTAAGGCAATTCAGGAATGGGTCAAAATTGTCCGATTCCGTTTGAAGGTTGAAAATATAATGTATGTAAGTTACAAAGGATATAGTGGCAAAAATGAGTGTTACGCCGACAACGGGAGATAACTCTTAAGAATGTGAAATTCGTCTATTAAAACTGAATAGGTATCTGCGCTCGCCCTAATGGTTGCACCGTCAACATATTGATAATAAATAAATAAACTCCTTTCCTTTCAGTACAATTTTTTATTTATTTTATTTTTTTTTTTATTTTTTTTTTTTTTTTTGGTCAGCAGATATAAGAGACAACAGCTGTTTTCCGCTTATAAATAAGTTTTACCGGATACTCGGGGATATATATAGTTATTACTGTAAAAGAAATGTAAAAAAAAAAATAATAATAATAAAATTCAAAAACTTAGCCATACATACGTTTGTTATTTTTCTTTTTCAAAAAATAGAATACAACATATATTTTAAAATAAAAAGAAAAAACAGTTATAAAAGCATTGAATAAAAGCGAAATATCCAATGTACGTGTTGATATTTCTTGAAGCGTTTTAAATACGAAGATTCAAACATTTATTTGACCTTGATTATCAACAAAAATGAAGAATGTGGAGAAGGCATGCGTTATAAATATCATGAAGACTTAAGTAATTTTCTGTGTAAAAAAATGTTGTTCAACCACGTATACTTTGTGGTTTTACTCGTCTCATTGCCAGTTACTGTTTCACAACTGGTCGTAAACGTTAAAAACAAAGGGGGCGATGTAATAAAAGAAGTTATTTCAGGTAACACGACTTCCGATGTTGTCGAGCTGCAATTTCAGAATACAGACGGCACACTCATCAATCAGTTCATCGACTTCAAATCGGTGAGTTAATTTTAGCTAGATTGAATGATTTATTTATGTAGGAAAAGAACCTTCAACAGGTTGGGCACACACCACCAAATGGTCATTTAACCCCCGTTTGGTGGTCAATCGCCCATATCGGAGTCGGTATTTACTGACCATTTGGGAGAGAAAAATCGTTTTGTTCAATTCTGTGGAATGGGGTGAAATGGCGCTTAATATTAACTCGTGGGGAATAAAATATAGACATTTATCAGTACTATGAACAAATTGGAAATTCAACGCGGAGTTTTTTGCGCAGTGTCGTTCAATTTTTTGACCAAATCGTCACCAACGTAAACAAGTACAACGTTTCTGTGTTTTGACTATAAAAAGAAATTTTCTCTCCTTCCCGAACGTTGTTGCACCTGTTGATTGCATTTCTTACTTTCTATTTTTATCATCCTGGCAACCAATCAAATAATTTAAACATAAAAAAAGATGATCTTTTCCGAACCGGGTCAAAAGTCTGATTTGACAACGGAGGCACATTAGTGTCAATTTTCAATTAGAAAATAAAAGAAAAGAGAAGAATTTGCTTTTATTCTGTTTTATTTTGCACGCGATGGCTTTATTCTTTATAAAAATAAAATAAACAGTGAGATCATGATATAATAATTGCTTCAAAACGATGTTCTTGGAATTAAAACTAGAATAATTGCAACTGTCACTTTGTAAATCTTTTATTCAAAATCATTGATTAGATATAGTAGATTCATCACAAATATGCATACTAAACCACAAAAGGTCGCACAGAAATCGCAACTTCATCCTAAAAGTAAATAAAGAATAAATGTTACATTCAAATGTAGAAAAAATGAATATTATAGCAATAAGTGCCCACCATACCAGTAAAGTATGAGGAGCTCGTGTTTAACTGGATTCTATAGAGATTTATTTAGACGAAGATCCAAAGATCGATTGAAAGTTAACTTCTAAAGAGTTAAACCACTGGTCTAAATAGAATTTTTATTAAACTAGACACAAGAAAATATTTTTTTGATTGATTAAGCAAGAAGTTCGGCCGTCACGGACAGCTGTAGGTATCGTTTTTACGAAGTTCCACAGAAATTACACATGGAAAATCGACCGAACTGTATTAATTGTGCGAGGAATATGTTTACTAAAATTCCCCAAGGCCTATACGAATGCGCCTTTGCTTTATTTTTATAAAAATTGGGTTTGAATAAAAAAGACCACCAATTGGTCAGTAAATACGACTCCGATATGGGCGATTGACCACCAAACGGGGGATAAATGACCATTTGGTGGTGTGTGCCCAACCTGTTCAATAGTTCTGTCGTTTGTGAGTTGACAACTAGAACATAGCGTATTTGTCGGTGATGATGTGATCTGTTGTGTGTTTTGTCAGTTTCCTCTTCCAATTCTTGTTTACATCAATTCATATCAATAAAGTTTAACATTTCGTTCATAAGAATTCGTAGAATAATTCCTAATGTAAAATCTTGCCATGATTGAAACAATGGTACATTCAACTTTATGGCAAGCGGTAAATATAATACTGCTGACTCCCAATGCCCGACTCTCTCGTTTTTCTATTGATATTCTTCATCCTGCTGTACAGAATCACTTCACACTTCTCAGGCACATTTTCTGCTTTGAAATACATTATGCATACATAAAATATTAACAAAGTTATGTATTATATGCCATATCAAGGTCTTTTGATTTTTGACTCTCGATTGTTCCGGATTGCAATTTTTTATTAATATTCTTCATTTCACAAAGAAGAATTGATCCAAGTTCTTGGGCATATTTGCTACGTTGAAGTTAGTTCCCACATACATAAATATAACAACAATATTATGTTAAATAGATAGTTTTTGATAGGCCTGAATATAGCAAGAGTTATTTCCTGTTGGCTGCCATATTGGAGGTCCAACTAGCGAATTTTCCCCTTTCAGCAACCAATTTTAAACTTTATAGAAATATAAGGGCAAAAATCTTTAAAATACCAAAATTACAAATCAAAGGAAGCTAGTGTTAACATAGATTTGTAAGAAAAATTGTGTTATCTTCACCCAATTGCTCAGTATGACAAGTTTAAATTGGTTTAATAATGAAGGAAATTGGGCTTGTATACCTCCAATATGGTGACCAACAGGAAATAACTCTTGCTAAAATCGTGTCTATTGAAAACTATCTATAATGACATTTGTCCAAAAACAGTAAAGTACTAAGTTATAAATAAGTAGAAACCAAAAACGGATATACCCCAATTCATCAAACTGCTCAATTTGGCTCATAAATACCATTATTCGTAATATTTTTGATATTTTAATGTTTATGTGAATTTAGTTTAACAAAGTTAATGTGCCTGAAAAGTTTGAACTGAATCTGTTCAGCAGTGTGGAGAATATCAACAAGAAACATTAATTTGAGAGAGTCCGGAGTTACCGCTTGCCCAAATTTTATTTTCCAATTTCCAAACAATAAGAAAGAAAGTAATATCTATTGTATTAATGAGTAATTTGTTCTATTATGTAGGAAGTGCAGATTTTCCGTGCCTTTGTACTGAGGGAGGAGGAGCTAGGATTTACCAGAAATAAACCCATTACTTTATGCTTTGTGTCCAGATTTAACAAGAATGAGTTCATTTCTTCTGATGCAATGTCTAAACTCAGACAGGTGGGTTATCTATCTCTCAAATCACCATTATCATGCTCTCTATGAATTAGTCTGAAACACAGTCTTATTAAAATCAGATATATCTTAAATTGTTCTGTAACACTTCTTTTTTGCATATACCATAAAATCTTAAAAGAGAATGCTATGAAATAAAGAAGAAAATAAATCAATTAGTTGTGTAGACTTGTGTAAGTATACATATAGTAAGTGTGTCTTTTCTCTCAAGTAGAATTCAACTTAAAAATTTTATACATATAAGGCAACCAACAAGAAAGTTTTGCAAATTATCAGACCAAATGTCCAAAAATTCTTAAACTGAAAGAGAATTGATTACTTATTTTTCAGTATCTAATATATAATGTGTTTTTAAAAATTAAAGAAAAATCCCACCACGATTCGTAGCCCAGAGGAGGAGAAGGTTCCTGAGATGCACATCATGGATCTACAGATGGACCTGAGAAAGACGAGTGTCCTAAGTCCCTATATCCACAAAGTCTGCCATAATGCCAATCTGACCACTTACACCAAGGAATCCGACATCAGAATCTGGTCACAAGGTATGTCAACCATTCTAAAATGGATAAATGCATACCAAAAGGGAGGTAATTCAAAATTTCACAACTTCTGCATTTATTCTATGTGCAATTGAATTGTCTTCCCTGGATAGAAATAAGCAGTAACATTGGTCTTTGGATGAATATTTATAGCACTGGGACAGGACTTCAATGTGCTGATGTCCACTTCTAAGCAGACCCACCCTGGGAAGTTCTCTAACTGTAAAGACACAGCTAACCTGACGTCCCCGTGCCTGTGTCACTATCATATCTGTGTGGGCTGGTATCCATGTGGACTGAAGTACTGTCGAGGGAAAGACTCCGCGGGGCGTTACGTCAGTTATCGCTGTGGGATTAAGACTTGTCATAGATTTATATCCTATGATTTTGTGGCTGACAAGAAATATAACTGCTTATGGGATGATGTTTGATATAATGAATTTTTTGTATTTGTTTAAAACTGTATACTCTTGCATTTTTGTTGGGATTGTCAAGTAAATATTTGATGCTAGAAATCATGAAAACTTAAATGACTGTTCCTGTATCCACAATTTATTTTACACTCTGTTTAATCCTGATAAAGTGAATTGTGAAGGCCATGTTTTATTTTCAACCTTCTTTACGGTGGTATGGTTTTATTATTGATTTTGCAAGCAAGTACATTAATATTAATTTTATATACACTGTGTATATTTTAATATGATGCGTGGAGGTGAAGATTGATTGATCTGATTTTTATGAAAAAATCCACCCTCTTACATTACTTCTTCACAAAAGTCTGTTGAAATTTTAAGGAGTGCTCAATTTCACAGACATTTCTTCCTGTATTTCCCAATGTGCACAATGTGATAAAGTACTTTATGTGTATTTGGTATTGTTAAAGATTTTTCAGTTCATCACAGTTTTTATACATTAAATGATCATTTATTGCTGTTTGGAGAATTATGTAGGAGTTAGAAGGGAACAAATAATTTTTGTTATTTATAATGATGGTGCTACATGTATTTTAAAATTGAAAATTAAATTCATATAAATACACTTTTTACTCATTTGCATTGTAGTTTGATAGAGTAATCCTACATTTCAAATCACTTGAAAACCAAAGAAAACTCACTTGTTATTTTTTTATAGATGAATATGCATGTTAGTAACCCATACACTATACAAAAAAAACTTTATAGGAGAAAATTATTCAGTGTTAAAATGTATTCTTTAGAATATGTGCCAAATATTGCTTATCTGCATGGTTGTATATGTAAATATTTATGCTTTTGATTATAGAAATATATTTTACTTTTCATATGCACTAAGTATAAAAATATTGCAGAGAACTCCATGTCTTTGGCTTATAACAAAAAATTACATTTGAACTTTGGCAACCTTATCATTGGTTTTGTCAAAATCCAGAGATAAGTTGAATTATTGGACCTGACATTATTATGAATACATATTTCAATCAAGCTATCTTAGATTATTGGATATGCTGACATTTTTTGACACTTGTATCATATTTCTAGTCGGAAATGTTGACATTTTTGACAATCTTGACATATTCTAAGATATCAGGTTTGACTGTATATACTTTTGAAGACTAGTGTTGTTTTATGCTTTTTATCTTACCAATGCATCAATGGACAGCTATGTTTTAGATACAGTTTTCATACTGAGTGATCAAATCAACAATGTCCATTTTTGTGTCTAAGTGTTTGAAATATTGTCTTGGTGCATACCATCTGTCAAGTGTACCTAGAAATATATGGGTACCATGTTTAATGACTGAAGTTTTAAGAAAAAAATCAATTTTACGACACTGTTGAAGTTAAGTGGTGGAGATATGATGTTAATTCTTTGAATTCAGTGAATAAATTTTTCCATGCAAATCTATGGACTATAAAAAAAGAATTGACATATTTATAAATTAAATGGCAAACCAATCGGTTGTGAATTTACATCATATGATGACCTAAAATGACGAAGTTCATGTAGGGACATTGAAATTGCATTGTATCATCTACATATTTCTTGGCATTGCATTTAATATTTGCCCTTTAGGTGCGTATAAAATATAATGAATTATTGACTTCTCAGTTGGACGTTAATTTAAAGCAGTTTATTAATGACATTCACAAATTAAAAAAAATGAAAAAAACAGAGACCTGACAGAGAGCAAACCATTCACCTTAATGGCTGAGAAGGCTGTTAAATCAAGTACACCGCTGAGCTATCAATCGCTAGTAGTTACTTTTTATTAGTTTTAGTGATTTGAAAACAATGGAGCGGAATTAGTATTAATATTTTATCGATCAATTTGCCTCTAGGATTGCATTCAATGATATTAAGTAATTAGACTAGAGTGTCTTTTTTTCGATTTTGGGTGTGTCAATCGATGAGAAATCTGTCTTTATTGTTACTTTAAGCTTATTAGTATATACAGTGTAGTACAATCAGATTCAGTACAGATATAGGTAATTTACAGGAGAGCAATGAAAGGCTGACAAATAAACTGGTGGCTGAAGGAAGGAAAATATTTCAAAGGTGCATATTTAAAAAAAGTAAGAATTAGTTTCCTTTAACATTGCTAATTAAACTGTCCGCCATTGAAAATCTGAAGTAGATAAGATCTCAGTAGCAATGAACAGTGATCGATCTAAAAAAAAATCTACAAAAATACAAATCTGTTTGCAGGGCATAAAACTAACATTTTAAAAACATTTTAAGGGCGAAATGTTTTTATTTTTTCATCTGCACATTTATAAAAAGTCTTAAAAGCAACCCGTCAGTTGAATTAGTTTGAAATGCAATCGGAATCCGGTGTTATTTTATTGCTAGCGCTCTCGAGCGCTAGCAACTACGTTAGTCTATTTTCCTGGAATACGCATGCTCGACTTCACGGTAGGGCATTCTGGGAACACAACTGTAGATAAACTGTACCATGTAAATTTCGTTTAATTATCTGAAAATACATATGATCTGAAGTTTTGTGCTTTGTTGTCTAAGCTGTATACAAATGTTAAAAAAGTAACAGTTAAACTTAGGTCTTATAATGCCAAGACTGAAGAGATCGGTTAATTCTAAAAGAATACTAAAACCCTAACCAACTTTTTCTTAACTTCTTTCTGGCAAGCTCGGCAAACAATCTCGGATATATATGTTGCCAACCTAATTAAAATCTTGGCCTTGTGCAGCGATCTATGTGAGCGGATGAAAGGATCTGATTTTTAATCAGATCCTTATGTTACCGGAAAGATCCGAGAAGATGCGATTGCTACAAAACAGTACTACACTGGATAATTTTAAACTAGGTGCCCATACCTAGGTTCTACTGATCTCTTTTATTTCACCTCAAAATTGAAATAACAGTAAGCTACAGAATGCTTAAAGGACAGTTAATGACTTATGTCATCGCCAATGTGAAGCCCACTTTCACCATTCATTCTGAATTGAGACCCCCTCCCCCTACCTTACACCACCCCAGTGCACCACTGCGCCTATTAATAATTAATCGATTCAGCAACTTTACAAAGGGTTCAGATATATACTTCTGTGTTTTATAATGGCTAACGCGCTAGCTCACCCATCTTTTTTAAAAGATAAGCTTGTTGCTAGCGCTCTCGAGCGCTAGCAACTACGTTAGTCTATATTTTTGAAATACGCATGCCCGATTTCACGGTCGGGGATTCTGGGAAAACTACTGTAGATAGATTATACGATAACAATTTCGTTTTGTCATACAAAAATAGAAGCCGGGCTGACTAAATACCAGTCTAGATCCGGATTCTGAATGAATTCTTTTTAATTTATTGTCTAACCTACACATAAAAGTACAAGAAAAAAATTGACCATATAATGCCAAGATTCTAGACATCTAGCTTTCCTTACAGTTTTACCACCTTAGTGGATAATTCCGGCAAGCTCGGAAAAAAAACAACAACAACACAAATCTTTTTCAGAGTATGTCGGAAAGACCTGTCAATTTAGTGTTTATCATCTGAAAATACATATGATCTGAAGTTTCGTGTTTTGTTGTCTAACCTGCACGTAAATGAACAAAAAGTAACAGTAACTCGGGTCTTATAAAACCAAGACTGTTGTTTCTAAAGTTGTAATGAATACAAAGCTTTTCAAATCTACCTTCATGGATCTTTCGGCAAGCTCGGAAAACAGCGGCAACCTCGGATATGTTTTCCGAGCTTGCCGGAAAGGCCCGAAGGTGCTTATTGGTTCTACTGACCTTTTATTTTTCACCTCGAAATTGAAATTACAGTAAAATACAGAATGCTTAAAGCATAGTTAGGAGTTATGCCATAGCCGACGTGAAGCACACTCTTAGATTCACCATTCTGAATTGTGACCCCCCCCCCCCCCAACTCAACCCCCAGTGCACCAATCTGCCTTCCAATTAATAATTAATCGATTCAGCAAATGTAACAAATGGTTCAGATATCTTCTTCTGTATTTTATTATGCTACAGCGCTAGCTCACCAATCTTTTTAAAAGATAAGCTTGTATTAATATATTTGGCAAACCTCGGATGATTCCGTCGCCTTCAAATTAGACAAGATACGAATTGGCCGAGGTGTACTGAGTAGAGTTCGCAATTCAAATAAAATATTGCAATAAAGACAGCCTCTTTCAAGCTACGAATCTGGGGGATTGTTGAATTATTGTGCATGAATTGATAAATGAATAAGTAATAAATTTGAATAATTTTAATTTGATTATTAATTCTAATTTTTTAGAGATGAGGAATCGTATTTCTTTTTGAATGTCACATTTTTGATAAAGATTATTCTATGGCAGTCTTTCTAGCTGTGGATTTTTTTTTTTTTTTTTTTTTTTTTTTTTTTTTTTTTTTTTTTGCATGAACTAGTGTGTAAATTGAAAAAAAAAACCGCATACTTAAAAAATAAAAATATACACATGTATTATTTTAGTGTTTTAATGTCTTATATAAAACTACATTAGGGGACACGTGTATGCGTTCCTTGGAATGCTTTAGTCGGTAAATTCTATGTTATATATGCCCATAAACATACACTTTACCTGATTACAAACTACATCCCAAAATTTACCACAAGTGCTGCATATTCAAATTAGTTTTAAAAGTGACAGATCAAGTTAAATCGTTTGTTGTGCTGTGAACTGGATAAAAGAAGGAAATCTTATTCAAAGGAAATCAATCAATCCATGCAATCCTGATGTAAACGATAAACTTTATAATTAGGGTCCAATTTTACAGGATTCAGTCTATTTAGAATTCGAACTGTTAATTCAGAGAATGAAAAAAGTGAGGACGACGACCAGCGGTCGATCTCATAAATCCTTAAAACAATGTAATTGATGATCAGGGGGAAAACACGGACCCCTTGGAATACAAGAGGTGGGATAAGGTACCTAGGGGAAGTAAGCATTTCCTGTTGAATAGTCACATCCGTCGTGAGCTTAATGTGGTGATTAGATAAACAAAGTAACCCTGTAACATCACCTCATTTGTCCGTAGTCTGCGTCGGTTTAAAAATTGATCATACTCAAAGCATGTTGTGAACCGAATCAGCTGGGAGACATAAACACCGTATGCAGGTGATAGTGGAGAGTTACTATATAAATACGCTGATGCTTTCCCGTTTGGATCTTTGCGTCGATATACATGTATCTAATTGAAGGCCAGTTAAAGCAGGAGGTTTTTTTCGATCTCATGTAGAAGTTTTTTTTAAAGTAAATTCTGCTTCAAACAATATGAAAACAAGGCGGCTAATAAAGGGACACACTGCAAAGATTTTGTCAACGAGGAACTCCGGCATCTTTTTAATATCAATTTCAGAGTACTAAGCTAGAATAAGAATGTTTTTAACAAAGTAATTATGTATGTGACCAATCACAAGGTACGAGTTTAGAGAATCCATATTTGATTGACATCACTTCTTGATAAGAAGTAGCACAGTACATATTTACATCTGTTGTTCCTCCATAGCTTTACAGCTATTAATATCTTTGAAAGAAGTCTAGAGAGAGGCTTGGTAGAACATTTTCTGGACCCTCCATGTATCCTTGTTTGTAAGGATTTTTATGAAGTTTTGAAAACCAGTGTAGGTACAGTAAATCAAGCTATCTTCATTGACTGGCTTCGGAGCCATAAAACGTAGATGACCTCACTTTTGATCTCAGTCTCACTTTTCTGCTATTAATTTCTTAAGTAAACGCGAGACTGAGATCAAAAGTGAGTTCGTCTAAGTTTTATGGCCGTGGAACCTGGAATGTAAGAAGTGAAGGATCACCGGGTGTGAAAGTGTGAGTATAAGTCGGATCACCGGTTGTGAAAGTGTGAGTATAAGTCGGATAAGTCGGAGCACCGGATGTGAAAGTGTGAGTATAAGTCGGAGCACCGGATGTGAAAGTGTGAGTATAAGTCGGAGCACCGGATGTGAAAGTGTGAGTGTAAGGAAGCTAAACACAGTTTCTTGTAAAATCCAGGGGATTCTTCTCAGAGAGAAGCATGCTGGGTAGGGATTTGCCTGCTATTTATAGGAAGTCTACATAAAAATTGCATCTTTTTTTGTTTTTATTTGCATAAAGTAGAGTCTTATCTTAATATTAAATGAAAAAAAATATGCACATATTTTTTGAGAAATCTTTTTGTAAGACTTTTTAAGGGGGGGGGGGGGGGGGTCCCAAAACATCCAGAATTGCATGTTTTAAGTATAGCAGGTAATGTACCTCTTTCAAAAGCTGGAAAATCTACCCTAAATGTACATTAAAAGAAAACTTTAGGACTTGTTATGTGAAATGAACATAACTTATTTTGTCAGACTTTTGCACTGTTTGTTGATCAAGGCAGCTAAAAATGCATAGGTGTACTTTAAATGGATGAATAAACTACCCATGAATACCCCCATGTTTCATGTGTCAAATACATCCTGTTAGTATAATTGATCAATGTATTATACTTGGATATTTATAAAATTCAAAAGTTTATCTTTCCATTGATATATAGAAGTCTATGTAAAAAGCCTCCATTTTATTTCTTTGTAGAGGTCAGTTTTGCTTATCCCTCAAGTAACGTCCTGATAACGTCATACATAAAACTGTGTTTTGCACCCTAAGTCGGATCACCGGATGTGAAAGTGTGAGTATAAGTCGGACCACCGGGTGTGAAATTAAAGTCGGCGGATCAGTCACATTCAAATTTTTGGTTGATGACAAAATTTTTAAGAAATTCTTCTTTTTTCACAAGGAGTTATGAGCCTTGAGGAACAACTGAACATCAACAGTATTTTTATGAACTCTCTAAGACGCATACAAGCAATATTTTTTGTCACATATACAAGTTTTTTGTGGGTTTTTTCATATTGCTCTCATACAAATTAATCTTTTTTCATTAAAACACTTGTATAGTGTTGACTTGAAATATCCTATGTTCCCCCCAATACCACTGGTCTTGCCCAACCTAGAGCTATGCTTATAGTACCTCTTCATGTCCCGACAAATATCCCTATAACCTTGACCTTGCATGTCTAAATGACCTTTGGTGAAGATTGTGACACACTTTCTGTCAGGTCATAATTTCACCTAAAGTAATACCAAATGCACGCATGAGCATACGTTACTCTGATTAAAATTTTAGTTTGGACAGGAGATTGAGCGGACAGACGATTCCTTTATGGTTTGTTCTAGAAAATAAAGAACAGAGATCAAGCGAGTTTCCTGCTGGCCTTGGATCTGGAATGGTGTTTGAAATTAAAATTTCTTCTGTGAGTCATAACATTTGATCTCTCTACATTTCGTAAACTCGATTCTTCAGAAAAATAAGCAACCAAAACAATGATGTTATGATGATGACATTTAAAGAAATCGGGACCAAAAACAAATCTAAAAGATTAGACGAAATATGAAGATATGAGTAAGTGTCCTTTATCTGGAGATGGAACTAAATGTTGAGATGTTGCCATGCATACATCCGACAGTTTACATGTTTATGGGTGATTTACTTAAATATCCAACTCAGTGGACACCATTACTGATAACCGTGTACTAAAGGGAGATCTTTAAGGGAAAAAAAATTAAAATCACGTTTGGCAGACAGGTTAAAATTTTAAGGATAGAGAAAACAGGGGATAGGGGAGGGAAAGGAGGGGCAGAGATTAGGAGATTAGACGGAGAGGAGAGGAGGGATAATTATACCTGACCCCCACCCCGCATATTTATTTATTTATTTACCGTACATTTCTTGATTCCTGACAAAGGAGTGATATGATTATGTCTACTAACAAATGCTTGTAAAATTGCTGAAAGTCTCTGTGACTATTACAGCTTAAAATAGTGTAAATGACGTCCGCCTGTATAACAGGACGCTCCACGAATCTACAAGACACGGACTTGTTTGATATTCTGGAATTGATAGTAAAACACTTCCGCACCAGAGGCTGCTATCTTTGACATTAATTCCGATTACAGCCAGTTCAGGTGAAAATTATACAAATTACAAGGTTTGACAGCGACTTGTATGTTTTTATGAGCGCTGTCTATCGATTTAAGTATCTTCTCCCTTCCGCTGCAGAGTCCTCTGTCTCGGATTAAGCTGTTTTGTTTATATTTGTTACTGTAGCAACGTCTTTTCTCTCCTAATCACCTGACAGTGGGATTTTTGCAAATTGAATCAGCTGTACATAAAACAATCCATGCGCGTCAATCTCCCTAAGCTTCTCTGTTTATCTCAAGACGACTAAATTTTCTTTATTCCAGAAGCATCTCACTTAAATCGCCCTATATTTGCGACAGTTCTATAAATATTTGGCCGAGGACCCCAGCCTCCTTGTCAACCACAAGAATAGCTTTACTTAGTAACCTAGATAGCACTTCCGGGCAGCATGTAGCGTCATTATCAGAAATTGTCGTGTGTTTTTTTTTTTTTTTTTGCTATGGAATCCACATGAAGCTTTCAAGAGAGTGACAAGAATTTAAAGCAAAAAGAAAGGTAAGAGGCATGTTTAATTATTTAAGGTAGCGTAAAAATCAAAAAGCATTCTATAGAGAAACATAAAAGCACGAGAGACACTCCAAATTAGATTAACTAGATTAATTGTATTTATTGAGTAATGTTAATGTAAGCCGAGGAAACAATATATTGAGAAGATGAACCAAATTGCCGATAGTTCGTACATGAAATTGAATGACAATGTCCCCGTTCACAGTATAGTCAAGCGTGCCGCCGTCATTGATTAATGCAACGCTCCAGGGAAAATATATATCTTTTTAATCAACTTTACTGATATACCGAAAGCTTACATTGCAAAATATCTCTCTCTCTCTCTCTCTCTCTCTCTCTCTCCTAAAACTTGACGACGTAATGGACTGCACCGTAGGAATGTCGAATTATTTTTTAGTTTGTCATTTGATTGTGACGTAACCATCAATAGATCCGATTAAAGGATTAACAATAGAGCACGTGCACACTGCATATTAGACAAACACTCATCTACTTGCAGATCTAAAAACATGAATACGCCGTATAATTACCTCTTAAAATACTGAACAAATATTTACGAAAAGGTTTAATATACATTTGACAGGAAAACGGAACAAATGTTTCATAACAAAAATTCCATCGTGTCATTCTCTGTCTTTGTTTAATTTTCAGACTAATTTCACTTTTTGTGTTTGAATGAAACTTTAAATGCAGAATTACACTTCAGACTTGACATCTGCTAAATACAACAAAGGTGGCGAGACTCTGAAATTGACTGACTATGGATCCGTAGAAGACATATATGGAACCGTTTTCATCTTAAGTTCCGAGGGTTGCTCTCATCAATGATTCAGACAGCGAGGGGGACCGATTCCTTTCGACGTCTGGATACTATATCGGATTTATGAGTCGTATTTTAAAAAATAAAACTTAGTTTGGACCTATCTGTGTGGCGGGTCCGTATTGATTACACTGAAGGTATCAGTTCACGGTGTCATCGCTTCTCTGTCGCTCTTTGCATATTGATCTGTAGGCTTATTGTGCAATTAAATATTTTTTCCATCATTTCAGATGACAACGTTGAATATTGCGGATGTGAAATTACCCTGCTAATAAGGTAGGCCGTATCTTTTTTAAAAAATGGATATCTATCTCCTCAATCAATATTTCATCTCAATAATATTTACATTTTGAAATCATTTCATATCATAATCAGTTTTACTTATTGAGTTAATCTATAGAAATATTGAAGTGTGCATTGTTGGAATTTAAATCTAACTGACGTGCTGCGTTGCTCCTTCGGAGTAAAGTATAGAGGACGAATAAAAGCGTTAAAGAGATTCAGAATGGTCGTAAATTAGAAATTAAACCACATGTTTAAAGAAAACATAAGCGCACTCCTAAACTAATCCCCCCACCGGCGAGACGGATCGGATTAATCTTACTCTTAATGCCAATATTGGATTAAAGGTGAAAGTATGAGATAAAAGGATTAAAACACCTTCTTGTCTCGTGAAAATCTGAAACATAATTTATATGTTTGCTAATTTTGTCATTTCGGAATAATGATTGTGTAATAGACCATTGCCCTGATCAGAACATCATACACTATAGTAGATAGACGCTGCTCTCCCGGACTTATGGTTAGATTCCAAGTGCAAAATCTTTGTGATGGATTTAATTTTACAATTCCACACCCGCTCATAAGAGGTGAGATATAGAGAGAATTTAGCGTGTATCTCTTTCTCAAACCATTTCAGGACAATTTTGATTATATCTATTTTATTTCTACAATTTCGTGTCAAATCTAAGCTATCCCCAGTATGGATATACAGAGCACATTCATGTCATTTTTACGAGTTTTGATTTGTTTATAAGGTTTTATCAGGTTTTTGGCAAAATGAATTCATAGTCTTAGCAATGAAACAAAATATTGCAATAAACGAAACCGTAAACTACATAATTTTTCTTCCATTTAGTGAAATTCGCAGAATTTAGTTCGGAAAAACATTTTTCCTTTATGTCAACACTACCTCATTTCAAATGCGTATTCTTAAATGTCAAAAATTGAAATAAAATCGTTTTGGTCTGTTATTAGATGAACACCGATTTTATATTGAATTTTGTTTCTCGGTATCTCGCCATTTTATACGTGTTAAACAAGTTAAAGTTAAAAACATATATGATTTTTAAGAGTTCACGTCTCATGATCTTTAACAACCCAAACATTGCCAATCCCAATCAAACTGCGTAATAATCCATTTCTATAATTCAGCATATATATATATATATATATATATATATATATATATATATATATATATATATATATATATATATATATATATATTCCTAAAGAATTTTTAAGAAGAATATCATTGGAAAAGGTAGGTAAAGCAGATATCGAAGACTTCAAATCAGAAAAATACTCTGTTCAGTGGGTAAAAGTTCTGTACAATTAGTCCACTAGTTGCATTTTCAGTAAACCGTGCTGCATTTATTTACAAAAATAATAATGATAATAAATCCAAGGTCTGTAAATATGTATATATCTATTAAATCTATAAGACTGAAATCGGTTGTAGGGCTCTATTCAATACTCAATTAATTTTTTATAACTACCTTTGTATGGATAAATTTTTTGCAAAATATAACATTGTTATACATTGTTCGTTCTCGTGCATCTCTGAGTACATCTTCCTATTATGCTGCATGTAAATAACTGAAAATGAGAGGTACGGAGTATGTTGTAGAAGGATTAGAGTCGATTAAATTGTCGAGATAAAGTGTCGGAGGGAAGCTTTGATCTCTTATATATATATATATATATATATATATATATATATATATATATATATATATATATATATATAGTTTTTGGCATCAGCACTCCTTCTAATGCCTCGATTTAACTTAATGTGTAGAGCAAAAAAGTTGCTGTAGCTGCGATCGATTTGAAGCTCAGGTTTAAGCGAATAGAATATTAAAATTTAAAAAACGTTCCTGCAAACACTTTTTTTTATTACTAGTACCTAAATATTTATTTTCTCATTACCTACACATGACAGCGTTTTATAGCGCTAAGTATACTCAGTCAGAAGGGTTACTCTTACACACTCAGGGATTGCCATGTAAAGTGAAATGTAAATAAAAAGGTGTTAAGCTCACCTGAGCAAAAGGCTAAAATGAGATTTACTTGTCGAAATTTGCGCCGGCCGTCTGATGTCTGTCTATAAACTATATAAATAATAATAAGTCATTACAGTTCTCTTTACTTCATGCATGACGCCTAGGGTTAGAATATATCCACAATAGGAAGTCAAAGTTTTAAAGAGGAAATACATTTATATTGGGAAAATGAGGCAAATTTTCATCTGGATACTAACGGAACTTAATTAGAAAAATTAATATGCAATTATCCTCGTACATTTTAGATTTCAGGGACTTGTTTTACGAAAGAATAACGTCTTGAAAAGTTTATGATATTTATAAAATTATATTATTCACATTAATTAAAATCACAATTGTATCAACGTAACAAACTGTAGTATAAAAGAAGAGATTGGTCTAGTGCAGAACTGTAGCTCTCCAAAAAAAATATTGACAGACCGGACCTGGTTGTCCATTTCAATTTTTTTCAGACCAGAGAGCTACAGATCAGAAGCAGAGTTTGGTCTTCTGTAACACGTGACCCAGTTTGTTCAAAACAGTGAAGCAGGGCTAAGGCAGTGCCTTAGTGGAGGGTGAAGCTTATAGGAAACAACTTTACATATCTCAAAATTGAAAAGCAAGCTACATGTACATTGTATAGGATGGATTCCGATGTTTCCAAAATCATTCCCTAGTGGATAGGATGGACAGACAGTCAAAATATTGCCCTATTTCGCTCCACTATTGTAGCAGAGCTCAAGGTTTTACAGAAGGTATAAGCAAACTCTCAGTAAAAACAGAGCTATTTTTTTTTAAAAGTTGATAAGTATTATACTGTAAGTTAAAATGGTTAAAAACGCTTGTTAAGATTAGGCCTTAGATATAATATGGTATCTTTTAACTTTTTTTATATAAGAAGAAAGAGACATATGTGATTTATCAGAGTTATTACCAGTTTAGAGTTGAAAATTGTCAAGACATCCGTACATTTATAGAAATTGTGTTTTGATTACCTGTGTTTTCATTGCCTGAAAAACTTACCAGGTATTCTTCATAAATCTTTGAGATCTAAATGCAGTATTTATGTATTATATTTCGTTTTATCACAGGTAACTGACGTTGTACTTTTTCTTATCACTAAATATAAAACTCCAACCCCCACCCCTCTAGAAGGGTATATTTTTGTGAATAACAAATTATTCTCGAGTGCTTGTGCTTTTTATTAATAAATTTTCTTTCTGGGCTATAAAAAAATGCACTATGTGTCGTCATCCATCACCCAACTTTATCGAATCTTCTTTTTTGTAAAATTATTTATTTTTTAAGAAGGTCATTAGCACATTAATGCCTGTTTTCTCTTAGGCATTAAAGGAAATAAGGCACCCATCTGATAGAAATATTTTTATATTCACTTCCTTTGCCTGAACTCTATAAACCGTTGCGATGATGAAATGTTAATGTGTTACATGTAGCAATGTTTTACAGTGAAAATCTGGCATTTTCAGATATTTTGTTGCTCACAGCATGGATAGTTTTTGGTGCCCCTACATATTTCGATCGACATGTTCCACTGCGATCTTTCAACTCTCCTTTTTTTTAATTTTTAAATTTCTTAACCTGAAAACTATACAGTGTTTAAACTAATCTTTTCACATGTCAAAACTATATCTTTAATAAGGGTTCTTCAGTGATTTCTGTAATGAAGCACAGTTTTTACATACGCTTTCACTTTCATCTTTGCAGAGATCATTTTAAAACAGTTTTCTGCTCAGTGTAGTGACCATGCTTATTTAAAAGTGAATTTCTTTGTGAGAACAATAAGAAAAAAAACATGCGTTTTTCTGTGTTTAGGAGTTCTTTAATTAACAATTAACATTTCATTTATTGACAACACCGTCATACATTGGTGTATAGTCATGAATACAACAATCAACATACATGTACATCAAAATATCCAGTTTACTAACATGCACTTACTGCAGTCATATGTTTGCATATCAGTTATGTTATTAGAACTTTTCGACTGTGAAAAAATAAAATTAAATACTTCTACATTTTATTATGATAAATCCTATGTTGCATTACTTATTGGATGACCCTTGTAGCAATTGTATCCCCTGATGTAAAGAGCAAATATCATTTACCGAATACAAGGAGGTGAAAAATAAAAATACTCCTATTTAGTTCATAAAATAAAAGTAGAAGTTAATGGACTATAACATTTCGATTCTAAGTTATAATTTGAGACTTATTTAAAAAGAGAAGTACTATTTCTTGTTGAGGAACGGACATTCTAAGTGCACGATTACGTTATACCAACCAATTTGATATCTTTGAGAGGGGGTAGTCCTTTTCCTAAATCTCAGTTTCCTTTCTGTTTTGGGTATTACCATTATCAGTCAGCTTGTGTTGTGTGTGTGTGTGTTGGGGGGGGGGGGGGGCATATTCCCTCTCTCATTGACTTGTGCTTGGTATAAGAAGAAATTTGTTATATATACACTCGATTATCCCTGCATTTTCTAGGACTGTGGGATTAGTGTTTAGGGTATTCATCCGATTGACAGCATTTCGAGGATGTTGACCGATTAACACCGAAGGGCGGATAAAATATTCCGACATAGATAAGGCGTACATACCCGACAGGCGGCGATAAATCACGTCGCTACCGCAGATACATTGTTAAACAATTATTCCGAATTTTTATTCGATTATCGGACAGTTTACATCGATTTGTGAAAGATATGATAATATACTGCCAGAGGGTATTGATGCGTTCCCAAAAATTAATTAAATACTGTCATCTATATGGTAAATTGTTGCGAACACTTTTTTAAAGCTAGCGACAAATGTTTCACTAATAACCAAATATCTTATTACATACCGGCTATCTAACGAAGGGGTATTTTATTTATTGTAACATTCTTGCTTAGAGATGAAGCCTTAAGCACCCTCTTCAACAGAGATAAGAGAGGGTTATTATAAATTACTGATAATACAGGATGCCAATTTACAACAGGATCAATTTTCTTGTTTTCCCAAATGAAAATTTACGATCTGGAGAACTATTCTGTTGTTGTTAATAAATACTATTAACTAAAACATCCTTGTATGTTACTTAGATAGAACTGCAAACATTAAACAGCTCCGCTATCTGTAGGCAAAAGCTGCCGCTCCTAGCCTTTCTAAATGAAAATACAAAATAAGACAATGATTTCTGTTGATTGTTCGTTGGATTAAAAAATCTATATGCCAGTTCTTTTTTTTTTTAACATCTCCATATATTAGTGCGTATTCATGTTTAAGTCATGACCCCCCCCCCCCTTCCAAAGGCTACAATGGAACCACAAAAGGGATTCCAAAGTTTTATATAAAAAGTACAGGTTAGGATGTTATGTGAAGCAAAAAAAATAATATTCTATAGAACAGCTTGATTACAGTAAGTTAGAGTCAATTTTCTTAAATTACAATCCCTAAAACAATATAATTTCATTAAATGAATAAGCATGTCTTCCACCTGTACAGCTGTTGATAGTTAAAGTATGCAACCATCCCCATGTATTGCAGACTCCTAGTCATGTTCCCTTTGGTGTCACAGTAGGCGTTCCAAATTAAAAAAAAAATGCTATCTCCAGAAGAAGAATGCTAAAATGTCCGTCTCCAGAATCTGTCTGCTAAAAAGTCCGTCAGCAGAATGTGTCTGCTAAAAAGTCCGTCTCCACAATAAGAACTCTAAAATGTCCGTCTCCAGAATCTGTCTGCTAAAATGTCTGTTTCAGGTGAGCTATATTGACCAATTCAGTGCTTTTCCCATTTCACTAATTGACTGAAAATGTAAGGGTAATATTTACATCATCAATCTTTAGATATTGGTAATTAACAGATTAAAATTTGATACACATTCGCGTCTACCTTAGCGAGTTAGGTTTGTTTGTGTCTTTAACGGTTAAGGTTTTAGCAATAGAAAAGAGTCTAAAGTAGAAATAGTGTATTTGAATAGTGTCTTACAAAATGTATTTGTCAAGCTTAAGCTACGTTATGTAAGATATTTCAATGACAAAGGATCCCGGGGGTTCCACACGTCAGCTAGCTCCATTACTTTAAAGCAAAAGACAAATTTTACTCGCTAATGGACAACTGATGCAAACAATTCTTTAATGTGAACCAGCGATTGTGTCCTTTCTCTAATGTACTTGTGCAATAAACGAGAACAAAGAAATGTTTTTACAGAGCCATTTTAATATGGATTTGCAGGATGATACTGCAACTGTCAATTCTGAATCGGAAATGTTCAAGAAAAACAATCATTGTTTAACAGCCTTTACCTTCACAGGTCAAGAGGAAGTGTCATTAGACAACACATAAACGAAATGAAATTTCCTATTTAAATGTCAGTATCGGCTCAGCACATTTTAATCACCATCTCACGCGTTCACTGACATTGATCGCTATGTAGAACATTGTAATCCCTCTTTGTAGAACTCTTTTTATGCATGAGAAATGCAGAAAGCATGCATTTTAATTCTTTTTGCGTTTGGTTAAAATTAAATACAATTGTTATGATAATAATTGGACAATTGTTATATCTTTTTTTTTTAAGTAGACAATATGGCATGAAGAAGAAATACCTACAGAACTGATTCGAGAGAGATGGCAAGTGAAGTGTGCCAACCCCATAGCGGTCACGTGATTAACCAGCATGGAATGTCACGCCCGAACTCAAATCGGTACAGCCTTGCTTTCAGTACCTCTAGACCAAAAACGGATCAGCCGTCCATTACACCACGTGACTTAGGAGACTGGACAGATCAGGAATCTTTGGACACAGAAAGGTCCAGTATCTTACAAAGGCCGATGACCGCTAGACCCATATCGAGAAGAAGTCGAACATTTGTCACAACGGATGAAGGTGGATCTAATAACACTTCATATCATACTTTGGGAAAGAATATGAAAAATGTACAAGGAACAAATCCCACACATGCACCGACTCTGATAAATAGTTATTATAACCACAGCCCTGGATATGATTTTGAGAAGTTTAGCGGTAATATTCGAGACGACGAGGAATACTACCTCGATATGGACCCAATCGAATACTTTTACAGTCCAGTGTTCGATTTGTATCCGTATGGCTACATACTGAAAAATCAGTCAAAAACAGTTCAAACACCAAAGAAATATAGTAATACCTATCCATCAACAGGAGATATTGAAAGCAAAGAAAATCTAAATGATAATTTTTTGACCACCAAGACAACAAAAGAGACAAGAGACTCAGATCCAAGAACCCTTCAACCCGTGAATAATTTATCCTTGAAAGCAAATCCATTTCCCCCACGCAGTCGTCTCCCCGTCCCTATTGCGAATCCCACGTTCAAGAAAGCAATATTTAAACATGATACCAGTCCAACTGTTCAAAGTATCGAATATCGCAGGGATTTGTTTGAACCGAAACAGAAAATAACAAAGATGGGTTCATTAGCAAACAATTCATCATTACTGTCACACGAATATCAAACAGAGCAAACAAAGGCGCCAAACAAGCGCGGGGACACGTTCTCCAACTCCAAAATCAATTACCTTGGCGCTAAAAGAAAACAAAATGATACAGTGGTGAAATCGGGGTCGTCTAATTCAAAGTTTGAAGTAGTTGATAGAGACCCGGATAACAGAACAAACAGCTTGATTACTGGTGATTTGGTTAATCAGCCAACAAGAGACGACTCGAATAATCGCTTAAAGTCTCGCGAAAAGTGTTCGTATAACAGATTACGGGAGTATTCCCATAACTCGCCTAATTACAGTGTATCTAAAAAGCCCTCAGAATTGAACATTGAAAGATCTCCGGTGAACGGAAAACAATCAGTAAAGTACCTTGGCAACCGAGAAAGAAGTCACAAGTTCAGTGAGAAATGGACTACGTCTGGTCGTATGTTGGATAGTCATTCGATTCTGACAAAACACAAATCAAATGTAACGAACCAGCAACCTCTGTTTAGACCCAAAGCACCGGAAGTTCCGAATCAAATTCAGTCACGTGATCAGAATGCAACCAGAAGACCTCTTTCCGAGGATATAAACAGTGTGATCGCGAAGGAAAATAATTCATCAGAAGTTAAAGCAGACAGACTTCAGAATTCTCCTTTCGTTGGGAAATCCAAGCACCCTTATTTGAGAACAGGAAAACAACTGAGTCTGCCGAAGATTCGGCCACAGACGGAAAAACCCCCATTGTTAGAAGTCAGACCCCCTAACTCACCTCCCAGAAAACTGAAACCAATTTTGGTCAAATTTGATAACATGCATTTTTGAAGAAAAAAGAAATCAGTCATTAACATTTTTATTGTTGTGCTGCAGACATTTACTGCTGTGCGTGTTTTTTTTTAAATTTTTTTAACAATTTCGCTGAATTCTTTGAACTTGGAGACAATGCATTGATTTTATTTTATGCTTTTCGTTTTTAAAGTGCTCTGAACACCTTAATATTACTTAATTTTATATAATTAAGCAGATCTGTGTTGTCAATTTTGTTCATATACATCTACTCAAGTACGATTTGAAAAACTCTTGCCAACTCAGCCTATGAGATGAATAGTTTTTATTGTGTACGTGCACAGAAGATTAAAATGGTGCTTATATTTTGTAGAAGAAAATCTCTATGAGATTCATTAATAAACTAAGAGTGAGTAAAGTTCTGTGCCAAGACAAAGTCTCAATGCAGACGACTACCTTCAAAATTGAGACAAATTAAAATTCACTTTCTCTCTCTGCTTGGACGGAATCATCACAATCAATCGGACACAGTGCTTGGCTTGTTGAAAATTCATTCTCATCAGTAGTGAATTAAAAATGGATTGCAGTTTGTCAACAATAAGTCTACACAAATCGACATATTCATTTGCTCCCTTTTTTTAATTAGAGAAAAATACATTTATGTTTATTTGTCAAAATAATGTGATCAAAGATGGAATTTTAAACCTAAGTATGAAATACCCAGGCCACAATTCTGCTCGCTGTACGGCTATTGCCACTATTGCAGTGAGACGCAATGAGCATTCGTTTAATATATACATATTTGAAATATTGAATTTTTTTTGTAAAAAAGGTTCTCATGTCATCTAATTTGTATATAATGTTATGTTCAAGTTTTGAGATTCAAGAATCAGATATACTTTTGTCATTACACTGGAGATTAAAAACTTAATTTGAAAAAGAAATATCTCATACAATGTTTGACTTTTACCAAACTCTAGATGTGCGCAAAGATATATATTCATTGTTACATCATTATTATTGTTAATAAATTGTGACTTGCAATTTTTTTCTTTGTCCCTCATCATAAAATTATAAATAAAGAGTTTGTCAGACGAACACAAAAAGTGTCCTTTCACACGCACCACAATAAAAAAAAGATGCTTTAAGTTTAAGCATTCATTAAAACTGAAATACAAAATGGTAAGACAATATGACAGGAGTAAAACAATTTCGAATATCGATTGTCAAAAGCATTAGTTCTATGGATCAAATTTCCCATTAAATTTTGAATTCATTTATGTAGAGTTGCCATGGATACTGACAATAACAGTTGCGAAATACCTCAATAGAATCGGGTCCTCATATAGGTTTATCTTCATAAAATTGAAATGTAAAGTATCCAAGATTATCGAAAAAATGAACATATTTTATTTAATTCAATTTGTTTTCAATTAAAACATTCTAAATATTTTATTAGGTCAAGAAAAAATAATTAAACACTTAATTTGCATATATTTTCCTCATACAAAGTAGTAGAAGTGATTTCTGTTCATCTTTTAACATTTTACCTTAGGTTAATGACTGAACATGCATGAAATAGATAAATTCAATATTTTCTCCTTGATAAGATTTCATTTTCCTACGTCCAATTTTTATTTTCAGTGTACAGAGGGTCCTTAATTAATTAACGTTATATACTTCAAGGAACTGATAAAAAATAGATTTATCCATTTCTAAATCACTGTTGTTGTTGTCAGTTGTTGTTGTGGGTTTTTTTTGTTTTTTTTTTTTTGTTTTGTTTTGTTTTTGGTTTTTTTTTTTTTTTTTGGTTTTGTTTGTTTTTGTTTTGTTTTTTTTTTTTGGGGGGGGGGGGTTGTTTTGTTTTTTGGGGTTTTGTGTTTTGGTTTTTTTTTTTTTGGTTTTTTTTTTTTTGGTTTTTTTGTTTTTTGGTTTTTTTTGTTTGTTTTTTTTTTGTGACGAGTATTTTTTTTCACAGGATTGTGTTTCATTTCAACAAATCATCAAATAGATATATGTAATTGGGAGGGGGGGGGGACGAGAAAAGACCAACTCTACCAGCCCAACGATTTTAATTTGATGTTCATTAACATTCATTATTTTGAAACTTGCTTACTGTTAAAACTTTCTATGATTCTAGTCAAAATGTTACCTGAATCTTTTTTAAGAACATTTATTTTCATAATTGCTACACAAGGAACCAAATGAAGAAGTATGACTAATCAGTTTTTGTCAAAAGATAATCACCCTAGTCTGGTTTTATATTACTTATAATAAATACATAAACTTCAAGATATGTTCTACCAAGTTCCTACAGTAATTTAAAAATTCAACTAACTGTGAAATATATTAGAAGACAATATTATTACAATTAGGCCAAAAAAAAAATAATCTTGTTTCCTGCTACCAGCCTGAAAAAAATAGGGTAGGTAGGTAGGAAAATTATTTTATTTTATATTTTTATTTTATTTTTTCCGACAGCATTTTTTGGATACGAACTAATACAAGATAAAATTAAACATGTCACAGGTCAACATTGTCTTTTAAAATTGAATTTCATGTCTTTTATGCACAACTCAAGTGGTATTTTATGAAAGTCCATATTTAAAAAAAGAATTTCATGAAATGCTTGTTTTGTGTTAACACGGAAACCGATTACAGAACAGACAGAACGATGAAATTCCAGAAATTCCCGATTTTTTTTCTTCCAAAACTTGAAAAAAAAACTTTAGGGTCGGGTGCAAAAAAATAGGGTAGGTCGGGTAGCAGGAAACAAGACTATTATTTTTTTGGCCTTATCCACTTCGGGGTTATAAATAATATGTTTGTCAAAATTGAGAAATGACACCTCAAATGGCGCTGCAGATCAATCGTGTATCTACGTTTAAAGAGCTACATAAACCCATTCCAATGATTTGTCAGGTTTTATGAATCTCCAAAGAGCATTCAAATTTACATTTCTAACTTTTTTAATATCACTTTAGGGAATGGAAGACGAGAGGTTTCATTAGTTCTCTGTATTTGTTCAATAATATATGATGATAAAAAAAAGATTACAAATATGCTAATACATATATTTATATTGACCGCTTCCATCAGTTAGATAAGCAGTCTAATGTCACATGAATGTTCGTTATTTAAGGCACATGAACATAGCCGATATACTCATCGTTATTGCGTTAACACATTTAAAATTTAGTAGATCAGTATGTGAATCGGCTATTAGAACATTTCTACCGATAGTTTGGACTAACAAACAAGAACGTGATGATGTATTTTGCGCCAACTTAACTCGGTTACAAGCTTATCTTTTAAAAAGATTGGTGAGCTAGCGCTGTAGCATAATAATTAAAACACAGAAGAAGATATCTGAACCATTTGTTACATTTGCTGAATCGATTAATTATTAATTGGAAGGCAGATTGGTGCACTGGGGGTTGAGTTGGGGGGCGGGGGGTGTCACAATTCAGAATGGTGAATCTAAGAGTGTGCTTCACGTCGGCTATGGCATAACTCCTAACTATGCTTTAAGCATTCTGTATTTTACTGTAATTTCAATTTCGAAGTGAAAAATAAAAGGTCAGTAGAACCAATAAGCACCTTCGGGCCTTTCCGGCAAGCTCGGAAAACATATCCGAGGTTGCCGCTGTTTTCCGAGCTTGCCGAAAGATCCATGAAGGTAGATTTGAAAAGCTATGTATTCATTACAACTTTAGAAACAACAGTCTTGGTTTTATAAGACCCGAGTTACTGTTACTTTTTGTTCATTTACGTGCAGGTTAGACAACAAAACACGAAACTTCAGATCATATGTATTTTCAGATGATAAACACTAAATTGACAGGTCTTTCCGACATACTCTGAAAAAGATTTGTATTGTTGTTGTTTTTTTTCCCGAGCTTCCGGAATTATCCACTAAGGTGGTAAAACTGTAAGGAAAGCTAGATGTCTAGAATCTTGGCATTATATGGTCAATTTTTTTCTTGTACTTTTATGTGTAGGTTAGACAATAAATTATAAAAAGAATTCATTCAGAATCCGGATCTAGACTGGTATTTAGTCAGCCCGGCTTCTATTTTTGTATGACAAAACGAAATTGTTATCGTATAATCTATCTACAGTAGTTTTCCCAGAATCCCCGACCGTGAAATCGAGCATGCGTATTTCAGAAATATAGACTAACGTAGTTGCTAGCGCTCGAGAGCGCTAGCAATAATTACCCGATTTTTTTTCCTGCTAACACTTGATCTGGTGTGAAATATACAATCTACTCACTGTTTGGAAGTCAGTTCGGTGTGACACATAAATTCACTGTTTGACAGTACTGATCGGTGTGACACATAATTTCACTGTTTGACAGTACTGTTCGGTGAAACATGAACAAGTCACCATATACTGTAAGTCCAAGCTAGCGATAAATTTGTACCATGTCCAGGGTACGGGGTAAAAAAGGAAAGAGAAATGGGGGAGAAGAGGGGTGAATGAAGGAGAAAAGGAGATGCAAGGAAAACAGAAGAAAATAGGAAAATGAAGGGATAGAAGTATTCCACAGCACATATTAACTCTACACACACCAACAGTTCTCAGAAGCCTGAGAAAGTTTTACGTTTCCCTCTCATAATATGTTCAGTTGGTCTTTTACCAAAATCAGAAGTTATTTTAAGTTTTGGGGTGAACCTCGATCCAAAATCTCCCATTAAGTTTACAAATTTTCTAAGAAGAAATACGTCTGATATCAAAAATATATAAACCAAGGCCTTTGAAAGGAGGCTTATTGATTCGATCGCATCCCTCTCCTTTAAAAATATTCGAATATCATTTATTAAGATTTGTACAGAAACAGGTGCTACACTAAAGATTTGTACAGAAACAGGTGCTATACTAAAGATTTATACAGAAACAGCTGCTATACTAAAGATTTGTACAGAAACAGGTGCTATACTAAAGATTTGTACAGAAACAGGTGCTATACTAAAGATTTGTACAGAAACAGGTGCTATACTAAAGATTTGTACAGAAACAGGTGCTACAGTACACTAAAGATTTGTACGGAAACATATGCTGCACTAAAGATTTGTACGGAATCAGGTGCTACACTAAAGATTTGTATAGAAACAGGTGCTACACTAAAGATTTGTATAGAAACAGGTGCTATACTAAAGATTTATAC